TGGAACTCACTGTGTAGACCAGACTGGCCTCAAACTCACAGACACCCGCTTCCCTCCCCCTCCCCAAGTGCTGTGATGAAAGGTATGCACTGCTGCCCTCCCACCCCCTACTTGAACTGAACTCCTTGACCACTCCTGGCTCCCACCCTCCAGATTGACAGGCTCTGCAATACATCGGGTGAGCCTGGGCTGCCTTCACAGTGCCCCAGCAGACCCCTGCCCTCCTGTCGGTACCCCGGGAGGAGGCTGACCTCTGTGTTCTACGCCAGGGGTGCCCTTGACCTCCACCTGCCTGGTGGGCATCTTCAGCCAGGGATGGGAGGGGCACCTCCCTGGGCTTGTCTTGTCTCCTCTTTTGTTTGTGGCACTCCAGGATCTTTGCACATTCCCACAGCCTCATCCTCAGCCTTTTAAGACTCTCCCCGCTCGCTCTGGCTGAGTGTGTCACTTGCCTCTGCTGGGCTCCTGCCTGCCCTGTTTATTTCCACACTGATGAAGGTCCTGACACACAGGTTAAGAAAGGGAGGTGTCAGCTAGGTAAATGAGTGAGGGAACAGGGTCAGGCTCGATTTGCCCTCAGTGTTCACTTTGTTCTGTTTTATGTTCCAAATCGAGGGGTCTGCATAGTCACAGCCATCATCTTACAGAACAGAAAGAAAATGGCCGCAGATAATCACCATCCTGGTTCTTGTTGGTTTTATGTATGTGGGCGAGGTCTTGGGAGGTTTTGAGATGGCACGAGCCTTGCAGCTGCCTCTGGTCCTCGGGACCTCAGGCTGCGAGGACAGAGCACAGCACAGAAGTGGGGGATCAACATCATGGGTGTGTAGACAGCCTTAGGGGGTCCAGGAAGAACGGTGTGTGCACGCTTGTGCACTCGTGAGCATGTGTGTGTGCATTCAGGGTTTCCAAAGTTTATAGCCTAGGAGACAGGGCAGCTGGGCAGTCACACCAGAGAGATGGGGAAAGGAAGATATAGGGGGGCTATTTTGGTGTGTGATGTTTCCATGTAGATTTGGGGAGAATTTGAAAGTTTTAGGTCCATGAGCCTAGTGAGGTCTGTGTGACCTTGTGGTAGAGCAGGAAGAATTCAGTGTTCCTTCTGTTCCTAGTCCTCCTCCTCCTCCTCCTCCTCCTCCTCCTCCTCCTCCTCCTCCTCCTCCTCCTCCTCCTCCTCCTCCTCCTCCTCCTCCTCCTCCTCCTCTTCATTTCTTTCCAGGAAGCTCCCTTCCCCTCCCTTGAGCAAGGTGGGGACTGACTGAGCAAGACTGTAGAGTCATGCTGCACACTGTCTTTAAAAACTGAGAATAAATTTGCATAGTAAGAGGGACCATTGAAAGTGCACTTTAGCAGTGCATTCACCCTATTGTGCAACTGTCATCTCTATCAGTTCTCCACACTGAGAATTACCCATAAAGCAACCCCCAGATTGTGTAGCCAGGCCTCTTCCCTTTGCATTCCCCCGTGACCCCTTGCCCGTGTTCCGCTTCTGTGGAGTTTCTGTTCTGGATATTTTATATACATGAACTCGTACACTATGTGGGCTCATGTGTCTGGCCTCTTTCCTGTGACACCATCACTGTGAGATCCAGCCATGCAGCAGGAGTCAGTACCCCATTCCTCTTTTTGGACCAGTGATTTTGTTCTTTGGATGTACCACAGCCATTGGGTTCATTTTCCCTTTTGGTGGTGTCAATAGTACTTCTGCAGCACCTTCAGCAGCCGTCTGGAGGCCCTTGAGCCCTAACTCCTAGGCTGGACTCCCTGGGAAGGGAAAGGTTAGGGGGTGGGGCGGTGGTGGGAGGGCTCAGAGTGAAGCCTGACATGCCCCCAATTTCAAGTTTGCTCATACCTCATTGGCTGGTTTCATTTCTGCGGGAGGAGAGTAGGCAGGGGAATGTGTTGGTCTCCAGCCTGCAGCATCTCTTTCCGGGCTCTCTTTGTCTCCCTGTGCTGCAGCAAGCCTAGTATCTGTGATCTTGGGTTGTGTAACCTGAGCAACAGAGGTCTTATCTGTGAATGGACATTCTCATTTTTGTTGCCACCACAACCACTTGGGCGGGCTGAGGACTCTGAAGGAGCCTGAGGAATGCTTACTTCTATCCCTGTGTGGGTGGAGACTGATGTGGGGTTGCGGGGGGGGGGAGTCTCAGCTCCTTCACTAGGAAGGAACAGCAGGGCTGTGGTCCTTGCCATGTCCAGCTGCCAATCGCTGGGAAGTTGCCCCCAGACACTTTTCTGCAGGTAAATTTGGTATGCTGTTTTTGAGCCTGGAAATGTCAGCCTCCTATCATCTCACCATCAGGCATAACTAGGCTTTTACTTCCTTTTGGAGGGATGGCCTTTCTGTTGATGGCATTTTTAAAAGTATGTGTGACATGCCCCCGACCAGGCATCTTGCAGGTGCTATTTCCAAGTGTCTTTTTATCTGGTGTGTGGAAGAGGCTGGGTGGGGTGTGGCTTGCCTGGGGTGGGGTCCTGGCTGTGCTCTTCATTGACCTGAGCTGATCCCCAGAGAGCAGTAATGGGCCTTTCAGGGTTTTTACTGTGCAATTGAAGGTTAAGGAACAAGTCAGTCAGCTTACCTCACTCTGTTGTGTGAACCAGTGTGACTTTGTTACAGCAGGCAGTGCAAAAGCAGGCAGTGGAGTGGTGAGTGGTGGTGCCCCCCACAAGCCCCACAGAGACACAGGATGCCTTGTTTGTGGCACAGGGACCCCTGGGAGAGTTAAGAGGAGAAGCACGGCCCAGCCTGACTCAGCACAGAGCACAGAGCACACTCACCCTGCTTGGTTTATTTATTTATTTATATCAGAAAGGAACATGCTTATAAAATAGGTCTTTTCTAATTAATTTTAAAGTTTTTCTTTGTTTTTTTTTGAGACAGGATTTCTCTGTAGCTTTGGAGGCTATCTTGGAACTCACTCAGTAGACCAGGATGGCCTCAAACTCACACAGACCCACCTGCCTCTGCCTCCTGAGTACTGGGACTGAATGCATGTGCCACCACCACCAATCTCTAATTTTTAAACCTTCACTAATTCCTAGTGTATTGCTCTCCACTTAGGATGTGACAGAGCTGGTGGTTATGTACCAAGGTTCAGACCCAGGCCCTGTCACTCATCTCTTACTAATGAGTTGTTTGGAGGATTGAGTTCCCGTTTGAGAGCCATTTAGAACAGAGCCGGTAGTCACCCTCTGAGTGAATTGACTTAAACACATTGGGTACAGGGATTCCTTTTTCATCAACATGTAATCCTTGCTTTTTGCACATGCCAGTAACTTAAGGGACACAAGACACAGATGTAGAAGCACCGCACCCTGCTTTTGCATACATCCTCGTTTGACTTCCCCTGCCACATTGCACCCAGGCCAGGGGTACTGTTTACCTGTCTCCCTAAGGCCTGGCTGCCTCTGTCCTCTTTCCTGGGACAACAAGGCCATTGACTGCAGCGCTGGCACTTAAGAGGAGCGCTTGTAGGTGCCTCACACTGGCATGTTTGTGACAGTGCTCTCTGTCTGGAGTTGCTTTTAGACTCATCTCATTTCCCTTGCTTTCCGGCAGACAGTTGGAGGGCAGGATGCAGGTCTGGATTCCAGGGTCCACAGCATATTGATACCAAGGCGAGATGTGCCTTGGGCAGGTGGCATGACGCTACTATCCTAAAGCATGGAGGTTTTGTAGTTGAACATTGTTTTCAAGTACTGGGCAAACAATGCTTGCTTCCTTGTGCTAGCCATGAACTCCTCTATTTTCCCTCCTCTCCCAGGAGCCATCATAGATACATTGATTGACATATTGCCTGGCTTGAGGGGTAGGAGCCGGGGGAAGCCTTAGAAGTGACCTTTAATCATTGTTTGAAATGAACTGAGAAAGTTTAAGCTTGAGAGACAAGGGAGTGGACATTTTTGGGGAATCTTTGGAACTCCTTTCTTCCTCTTCAGCTAATTTGTTCTTGTCTGGGGCATTTATTGAGTGCCTACAATATGAGCTGTGTTTCTGCCCATGTGTACGAGACTGGTCATGGAGCATGAGGGTGGTGAATTTTCCTGGGTGATTAGTGAAGAGACTTCTGAAGGGGGTGCTATCTTGGGAATACCCCAAGAAAGGAGGTTTTGGGCCAATGTTCTTTTACAAGAGGAATAAATATGCAATGGTTCTAAGAGGAAATTAGCTTCTAGAATGTGGATGTCACCAAGACTAGAGGAGCCTACTGGGTAGTTAAGGGTGGATTTTAATTCTAAGTATCGTGGGAAGTTGCAGGACATTCTTTTTTATTCTTTTGATTATTTTCTTTTTCACAATTATCATACTTTGGAAATTCCAATTTCCCAAAGCATCTATTTAAGAAACAGTGAAACATACAACCTCAAATTACGTTATGCTTTGGGGGAAATAATTTATGGTATAGATTGTAATGAATACCACTAAAGGGATTTTCTCTCCCCCAAATGGAAGATTGACATTGTCAGCTAAATCATATTTCACTCCTTCCCAAAAGTGCATACCAGATGATTTAAAAAAAAAAAAGACTGCTCTCAATCGGTAGACTGAAGAAGGTGAATTGTTGTATAATGAAGGATCCCAAACCCATCGACTTCAAGCCTGGCTTTGTCAGTGTACTGGGCCTGAACTTGGCTCTGGGGAAGAGCCTTCCCTCCCCATTTTCATTTGTTCTGGTCCAGACAATCTTGACTTTGCTTTTGTGTCCTTCTGTCTCGATTCATCTCACTGGGACAAGAGGGGGCACTGGCTTACGGAGCTGTGAGGAGGGTTTATGTAGTCAACAGCCCCCATGGCTTCCATAAAACCCGGTTAATCCTGTGTAATTGACTTGAGCTTTCCCTGTATTTAAAGCCCCATGACACCCTAACCATGGCCATCAGCCTTCGGGCACTCAGCGCCCACCCCCAATATCAGATCCCCAGCTGTTCCGTATCTGATTTGCATTTCCACGGCTGAATGAATCTGCTGACTTCCCTTTTCTTTTCCGTTACAGGTCTTGTGCACAGGTGCAGGTGAGTACCTTGCTCCTTTCCATTCTTGTGTTGTTTGCTACTGTCCCCTAGTGGCCACAGTGTTACATTAACGGGAAATGTGGGGGGAAATCACAGAAAAAAATGTGTTAAAGTGAGGAGGCCACAGAAATCACTAGGGCCTTGGGTAGTAGATCAGTGTTTACCATGGTGTATGAGTGATCTTTGGGAGCCAATTCCACATGGAGGGATGCTCTCTTAGCCTGGACACATGGGGAGGGCCTAGGTCCTGCCCTGGATGAAATGACAGACTTTGGAGATTTCCCCCCCTCACCCTCCCTGGGGAATGATGTGGGGATTGGGTGGGGGGCTGGGAGGGCTGGTGGAGGGACAAGGGAGGAGAGGTGGGAGAGGGAGCTGGGATTGACATGTGAAGCATTCATGTTTCTAATTTAAATAAAAACATATTGAGGAAAAAAAAAACCAAAACCCACTTATTTCCATTTTTCCTTAGAAATCAAATAAAGGTAGAAACAGCAAGTGAAAGTCAGTTATCTGTGTAGCAACAGCTATAAAAACCCCGTTTTCTAAGCTGAATGGCAGGAATGTACTCCCAGGTCCTTAGGAGGCTTCCTCGGGAGGTTCTCTTGAGCTAGTGAGTTTGAGAGCAGCCTTGAGGACGTAGTGAAACCACCAGTTAATAAAAGCATTGGGTTTTCTGTGATTTTCATTTGCCAGCCTGTACTCATGGGTGAGATAAATGAATTGAAACTGTAATACTTTATTTTCCTATTTCATGTGCTGTTACTCTGCAAGCACATTCTTGCTGCCTTTAAAATACGGTGTTGTGGATTTATAGAAGCAGAGAGAGCCTCCTCTATCTTTTGACTTTTGGGTACTTGTCCAGCAAGTATGAAGTTCTGGGCTCTACCCATAGAATAGGAAAGTGAAACAGAATCCCTTTCCCCTCGGTATCCGTGTGGTCTGGGGGACTGTGTTCCAGCCATGGCGAGGTGCCTTTCTTCCCCTGGCCTGAAGGAAGACAGGATAACTATGATGCTGTTCTGATGATCTGATAATGATGGTTTATATAGCTAGATGCGTCCAGCTGAAAGCACCATCTGTTCTGGGATCAAGGCATTACTGTTGGGGCTGGAGAGATGGCGCAGCGGTTAAGAGCATTGGCTGCTCTTCCAGAGGACCTGGGTTCAGTTCCCAACACCCACATGGCAGGTCATAACTGCTTGTAGCTCCAGTTTCAGGGGATCTGACACGTTCACATAGACGTATATGCAGGCAAAACAGGAGTGCACATGAAATTAAATAATTTAAAAAAGACCTTATTGTTTCTGTAGAAGGATAATGGTAGTTAGTACTTCAAAAATGCATATTCTTTTGGAAAAAATTGGTAGCTTTTATTTGTCCCTAAAATTCAGGAATTTTTTTCATCCCTTACTGGAAGAAAAAAAATCCCAAAGCCTAGGAATTATTGGGATAAAATGATTAGATTGGTCTCATAGTACTATACAAAGGGAGAAAAATCCCACCAAACCCTTCTAATAAGGCAAATCTTGGTTAGCAACAGTAATTGTGTAAAGCTTTTGCAAACCATGGGGAACCCACGCAAGCGATGTCTTTCCTGTGAATCAGCCTGGTAGATAAGCTGGTAGGTAGCTGGAGCCACTGGCCTGCAGAATCTGACCTCTCTAATGCAGTCCAGCTCAGAGGGTGGAGTGTTATCAAATACTCAGTGGCGGGGAGCAAGCCCCAGAACTTTTCTAAGCCAGAAGGCTTTCCCTAGGGTCTGAGGACTCCCGGGGCCACTGGAAGGACTCTGTGTTAGTCTGCAGGGGCTGCCATCATGGTCACTGTGTGTGTTTTGTTTTCTTACAGTTCAGGGGCTTCCCTCTGCATATGCATACAGGTGGCTGTTTCTTTTCTGCCCATGTCACCATGGGGCTCCCCTACCCCCTGTGCCTATGCACTAATACTCTCTCCTTCAGAGTGTAGCAACCTTTCTTGTCGGACTATGTTTGGATCACCAGCCCACAAATAATGACCTGGAGAGTTATTATTCATCATGAAAGCTTGGCCTTAACTTAGGATTTTCCCCAACTAGCTAACTTAATCAACCCATGTTTTCCTTTTAAATCAACATTCTCCCATGTGGCTCAGTTATATCTTCTTAGTACTGAATATCTGACTTGTCCTAAGTGTGTTGGTGAAATTGGAGATGTAGATTTCTCCTCCCATTTTCTCTTTCTGTCCAGAAGTCGCACCTATTCTCTCCTGTCTAGCTATTGGCCATTCAGCTTTTTAGTAAACCAATCAGAGAACACCTTAGGCAGAGACCCATTGTTACAGTGTACACCAATATTCCTCAGTGTTTCCCCCCTTTTTTCCTAAATAAAAAGGAAAGGGCTTAACACAGTAAACCTGTATATACTAAGAACAATTATCAGGTAAGAATTACACTCACAATGTCCAGTCCATTTGTATTTGGCAATTTTGGAGAAAACACTCTATTATCTATCCTATCTTGATGAGTCCAAAGTTTTAAACCTAAACGATTTTCTATCATAATTTGTATTATCAGCCTGAAACAATTTTTTAAACCTCAAAACATTTTATCAGATAAACAATTTAAGCTTTTAAGCGTTTATGTCTTTCAACCTTTATAAACATTATGCCTCTTTTGTAAGTTTCTTTTTGAACTTGGTAACAAAGAAAATGTTATAACTATCTAGTCTTGAGCCTTCATCAGAGACCCAAGAAGGAAAAATATTACCCGAGTAAACAGGAACTGTAGAGCAAGCTACTTTTAAAACTTTAGAAATGACAGAAATAGCTGCCTGTCTAGACAGTAACTCAAGGTTCCCCTGCAATATCGGGGCATTCATCTTTGGCCTACAGGCCTAGAGTATCTGACAGAGTTTTCTGTGAAGCAGGAATTTTGGAGGACTGTCCTACCTTGTCTTGGCAAAGATGGGCGGCCACTTTCAGTTTGGACATCATGCTGTCAGCAGTTGAGGCAAGGGCAGTTTCTTGCCCAGTGGCTAACTTTGCCACAAATAAAAGCAGACTTTATATGGAAATTCTTTGACAACCATCATCTTTTATTGAAGTAAATTGTTGCTGCCAGGAGCATATGTGTTTCACTGTCTGAAAAACCTTAGGTTATTAAAACATCTTAAATCTGTAGATCTGTAGATCTCGGAAGTGTTTGAAGGTCATCTCTCTATCTAAAATGTATCTCTTGTTTGACCTTAAAAACATACCTAATATGACTACAAGTTTGATTGTTATAGATAACTGCTAACCTGCATATTTTAATTATCTTAAATAGTTTATAATAATAACTATTAAGGACTAGAAATTTACATTATATTGTTAAGTGAGGTGTATAGGTATAATACCTTAAATAAGAACATATATACACACATACACACACACACACAGACACACTTGTATCAGTATACAAACTACCTTAAACAAGAGTAGAAACATATATTCAGTATAACAAAATAACCTTAAATTTGTATCAATATACAAAAATCCATAACATTGCAAAATATTTGAGATTAATAGTTGTTTAGGTTCAATAATCTACTCTTTTATCCTATCATTTTTATATCCCTTCTTTTCTTCTCAGAAAGAGATTATTATATCTAATCTCCTTTGTTTGGTTTTTGTTTTTCTGACCATGACCAGTAACAACTTGCAACTAATCTCCCCTAAACAATGACAAACATCCCACCTCTTGAGAATGTGGGTGTCATGTTCTCTAGGCTGCTTCCTGTTGTCTAGGGGTGATAGCATCTCTAGGGAACCCCGAGAAAATTGGGATAATGATCAAGTTCTAGGAGAGTTAGTGTTTTTTTATTTTTTTATTTTTTGTTTTTGTCTCTGTGTGATGGGAAAGTGTAGAGCTTATCTGAAATCTTGGCTGGAGTAGTCTGTGAGGCTGGACCATCTCAGCTAGCAGCTTTGAAATTGTTCTGGATGCAGAATTTTGAGGCGTTCTGAGAGGCTGGATCACTTGGGATACTTGTTTTCATTGGTGCCTGGACCATTTTTTTTGAAAACACTTAAACTTTCAAAGGTAACATATATATATATATGCATATATATATCTATATATATCTGCATAAACACAACTATGGAATGTGTGGTGTGCACAAGCCATTTAAAGGTGATTTTTTTTTTGTTCTATGCGTGAGCAGTTAAAAGTCATCTGTCAACTTCATAAGTCCATTTGGACTGTATGACCAAACTGTAACAAATTTTCATTTTTTCCGTGTGAAAGGATGACATATAATAAGTCATGAGGACTCGGTGGCTAACAAGATTTATCATGTCTCATCTATGTTCCCATGCAGAAGGATCTGCTTATACATCACCTGTCTTGTAGTTTTTCTTTCTTCTTTATGTCAATAGCCAAGATCCTTAGCAGGTCTCCCCCAATCAAATCTGGTCTTTATTAAATTTTGAAGAAATCCATAGCTTCTTGTTTCTTGTGGAAACAAAAGCAAAATCTCTTCCCCAATGCAACATATTTTTTGACTTCCATTCCAAAGTTAAGACATTCTTAAAATATATAAGTTGGTTTAATTTAGCAGTTTCCATAACCCAATGTCTCTTAGAAGCTATTTTTTGTTTGTTCATTAGCATTTAAAAAAGTTTAAAGTCAACAAAGCACCATACAGGATCCAGACACCCTGTGTATTTCCCATCTTTATGTAACTTTTTATATTACTTTACTCTCTCTTTAAGGACTATTATAAGTCTGGGTGGTGGTGGTGCATGCAATCAGGAGTCAGAGGCAGGCGGATCTCTGTGAGTTCAAGACCAGCCTGGTCTACAAGAGCTAGTTCCAGGACAGCCTCCAAAGCCACAGAGAAACCCTGTCTCAAAAAACCAAAGGAAAACAAAAAGACTATTATTTTTAAACTATTTAGTTTTTATATGACTACATATATCCATTTTCTTTTGTTCTTCAGCATCTAAGCACATTTTAAGCATACTGTATCTGTTTAGAGGTTTTCTTGGTCTGGATCTGACTTTATGAGTCCTCAGCCTTTGCTCTCTGATTGTGTGAGCCAAACCTTAAACTGTTAAACAGTGGCTAGGCCCTCCTCCGTTGCTCATAAACCCCATTCAAGTGCTCAGTAGCAGGGTCTCTTTAGCAAGGTCTCTTAAAAGCTGTGCCTCTGTGTTCCCCAAGCGCTGAGCCTATTGGGACCCCCTTTTTTTTCCTTTCTCAGGCCCTGTGTGGATTTAAATGTCACATGCATTGGACACCAAATGTAGCAAGCTTTCTTGTTGGACTATCTTTGAATAGCCAGTTCACAAATAATGACCTGGAGACTTGCTATTAATTATGAAATCTTGGCCTTAGCTTTTTTCCCCCAACTAGTGCTTATAACTTTATTAATTCATATTTTTTTACATTCTGCCACGTGACTCAGTTATTTTTTCTTAGCGCTGTACATCTGACTTGATCCAAGTCTGCAGGTAAAAATCTCCTGCCTAGATTCCCCCCTCCCAGTTTCTCTCTCTCTTTGCCTGGAAATACTTACTGCCTGTTCTCCCCTGCCTGGTTATTGGCCATTTGGTTTTTTATTAAACCAATTAGAAGGCGCCTTAGGCTGAGACACATGGTTACAGTGTATACAAATATTTTCCAACATACAAGCACACCTGTTTTATTGTGAGAGGCCCCACCCTCATGACCTCATTTGAACTTAACGTCTTGATGATACACACTGTCTTGCAAGCACACACATACTTGGAGGTACTGGTACTTACTACTTTAATGTGTGGATTTTGGTGATAACACAATTTAGCTCATAATACTCAGGAAGTGGGATTTAGGCTCAGCCTCCAGAACTGATTTCTGGATTAAGGCTGTAAACCTGATTCATCTGTAGAGTTACCCTCTGTGACAGGTAGCAAGGTGAGTAATTGAGGTCTTTTCAGCATATTCAGAAGGTGTCTTAGGGTTTCCATTGCTATGAAGAGACACCATGACCACGGCAACTCTTACAAAGAAAACATTTAATTGAGGTGGTGTATTACAGTTTCAGAAGTTCAGTCCATTATTATCATGATGGGGAGCATGACAGCGTGCAGGAAGACATGGTGCTGGCTACATGTTGATGGGAAGTTGACTGACTGTCACACTGAGTAAAGCTTGAAAAAAAAAAAGACCTCAAAGTCTGCCCCCAGTGACAAGACCATGGCTAGTCCAGCAAGGCTGCACCTCCTAATAGTGCTACTTCATTTGGAGTTCATTTTCTTTCAAATCACCACAGAAGGCTGTGAGAGTTTTAGTAACCACAGTTTAACTACCCACAGTGCTGAAGTAAGAATGAAGGACTGAGTTCCAATTATGTGTATACCAAAGAGACCTAACAGACACATCTGGGGATTTTCTCCACTGGAGACTGAGCACTGTCTGGGATAGACCTTTGCTAGGTTACAAAATGTATCTTACAAATTTAAGAATTCTGAGAGCACTGCAAGTATCTCTCACAGTCAAGGAAAACTAGAAATCAGTTAATAAGAACTCTGGAAACTTCACAGATATTTGGAAACCAGCGACATGCTCTCAGCTAACTAACAATGCAAGAAAAAAAAAGGGTTAAAGCATTTGAGAAAAAATGGAATGACCATATTTCAAACCATACGGGATATGGCAAAAGGCTGTCTTTAAGAGGGCAGTTTATACTAATAAATGACTGTCAGTTCCTCCATAAAAGACCAGAAAGCCAGTTCAGCAGCACATTGAAGACTGTTCATGGTGATCAAGTGAGTTTCATCCCAGGGATTTAAGGATGGTTCAGCATATGCAAACAGCATATGTGATATGTTGGGTTAATAGAAAGGAGAAAATCCACAGTATTATTTCAACAAATGGAGTGGAAACATGACTGTTGAAATGTAGGAATCTATTTCCCCGTGTCACTCAGATTCCCTGTATGAATGAAAAAAACAATTCAGCTCTTAGCATATGTTTATCTATTGAAAATGGTGCCATCGCTGTCCTGCTGCAGGGAGATGAGTGAGTGAAGGTGACGTTGCTAACTACCCACCGGGTGCTGCTCATTTGCCTCCTCCTCTGCCGTAGCTGTTGCCGCTTTGTTCTCATACCTGGGAACTTTGTAGAGTGTTTCCTTTCTCTTTGTTTCTCTTCCTCCCCTTTCTATAAACTGGAAGAATTTGCACCCGTCTTGAGCCAGGTGAGGCACACCATCCCGCCCATGCTGAGAAGATGTTACCCTAGGTCTACCCAGCACCTTCGATGAAGGGCTTATCTTCTGTTTTGCTGTTCCGGGGCATTACTCCTTTATCTTGGCAGTGTCACTGTGAAAAACCCTGTGGCTTCCATCGGTTTGGGATCTTGCACATCTGGCATTGTACCAAGGATGAAACTGATAGCCTGATAGTTGAGATGGCTTTGGATAAAATTGAATGACCAGGGGCAAGTAGGATTGAAGTCTTAATGTCTTGTGTATTTTGTCATGATGGCTTAATAATAACCCTTCAGAGTTGGTTTGGTATAGTAGAGTTAACATGGAGTAGTTTTAAGGGGCTCACTCCAAGTCCATCAGCCAGTTGGTAGACTAGATTTTCTGAGCCTCATTTTGCATCCTAGATTATGTCAGAATTTCACTCCATGTTAAACTCACAGCATGGCTAATTTCTATTTGTTTTGTTGTCAGTTTTAAGAACACACACTTGTGCATGAGTGAGTATTCCAGGAAAATCAAAGAAGCAAATGAAGAGAAATAAAATTGAGTTTTGAAAAGTAGACATATGAGGTGGACTTTATTCTTACATTTATTATATGTAATTAATATCTCTCTGTTCTGTATTTAAATAGCTCCGAGCCCCGTGTTTGGCATTGAAGCTGTTTCCAGCCCAACCAACGTGACATTAACATGGAAGCACAATGTTTCAACTCCTTCAGAGTACACTTACAGAATAGAGAACAAGATGGAAAAGAATATGACGTTTACTACTGCTAAAAACCAAACATCGTACACCATCACAGACTTAAGTCCGGCTACTTACTATACATTCTCTATCACTCCGATGATAGCCAATGAGACCTCGGGAGACCCCACGGACAAAAATATCACAACAAGTAAGGGACTAAGTAAATAGGGCTAGTGGCTATGGCTATAGTAGCAGTATAGTAACGGGAAGGTGAGGAGAGTGTCTTTACCCATGTGAGTTCACATGACAGGGCTGTATGGATGAGAGCATATCACACCCTGTATGTGAAAAACATCATTTTGTCATTATAAAGCCTAAGGTAGAAGGTGAAAACTGTGATGTGGAGAAGTTAAGTTTCTTTTAAGATCCCTTAGTACGGGATATTAAGCGGTTGAATTGGAACCTGGAGAGCCTGATTCTAGCTACTAGAGTACCGTGGTATCCATACAGCCACCAAGATCCATTAAATTGTCTAGTTTATTGGTATTAAAAATTTTAATAATAAAGACAGAGAGTAGGGGATATAGCTCAGTGGTATCATGCTTGCCTAGTATTTGTGAGTTCAATTCTCAGCACCAACAACCCCCTCCCTGTCTCTCTCTCTCTCTCTCTCTCTCTCTCTCTCTCTCTCTCTCTCTCTCTCTCTCTCTCTCTCTCTCTCTCTCTCTCTCTCTCTCACTCTCTCTCTCTCTCACACACACACACACACACTCACACACTCACACTCATTGGGGCTGGAGAGGTGGTTCAGTATGTAAAGTGCTTGCTGTGCAAATGGGAGAACCAGAGTTTGGATCCTCAGCACCCACATAGTAAGTGCTGGATGGGCATGGAGGCTTCCATGTAATCCCCGCTTAACTACAAAACCGAGCAACTCACAGTGACCTCATTTAGAAGGCTTTGCGTTTGAGATATCTGATGTGAGAAGTCGCCTCATGTGAGAGCGGGAGGCAGCCGTAGAATCATCTGGGCCAGTATCTATGCAATCAGTCCTCTTGAGACCTCAGGCTGGGTTCTTTTCTGCCACACCACTGCTTTTGCCTTATCTGCATTCTAGTCTCCTCAGGGAACACAGCGGAAGTGTGTGTTCTCGAGTGAGTCATCCTGCCCCTTCTGGTCTCCCTGTTCTTCATCACAAATGAAGGGAGCAATGCTGGGTGTGCTGGACATGCTTCTAGTCCTAGTACTCATGAGGTAGCGGTGGGAAGATGGTTGCAAGTTTGAGCTCAACTTGGGCTACACAGTGAAACCAACTAATCAAGCAATTAAAAAGTTGCAAACGCTGAAGGGAGTGCATGTCCCTTAAACAGAAATGGTTTACTTTATGTTACCATCAGGCAAATAAGGCGATGGAAGGCCTGGGCAAGTCTTTTTAGGAAGTTGCACTCCTTGGCATTGGAGTGCAAGGATGTCTTCTGGGTTAGAACATCTGGGCACTATAAAATGATATTGTTTGCATTATTTTGAACTGGGACCTCTAGATTTAGAAACAGTTATTTTTTATGCTTTATTTTCAGTGTCTAGAATAAAAACAGCTAAATGTCACTGTGTGGAAGGATATTTTTAAGAATTTAAAATTCCTTTTGTGGTTAATCTTGAGCAGTAACATAGAACATAAGCAGTTTTTGTTTTAGGGTTTAGTCCTTCTCATCTTTTTTGATAGTGTTTGTTCCTTGCCCCTGTGATGTCTTGGAGATGTTTGGACTCTAATATGAAGGAAATGTTTTTAGTGGGTTACTTTGAAGTGGCAGCCACGTAAGGAAAGATTACTCTCCCACTGATACCCACTGTGTGTTTTTGAAACAGAGCCTTGGCCGGTGTCTGATCTCCAAGTTGCTTTCGTGGGTGTGACGCAGGCTGTTCTCACCTGGAGCGACGCAAATGGCACTGCTTCCTACCGGATGCTTCTTGAACGCTTTGGAAACAGCAAACAGATGACTCCACACTCGTCCTTCAATATTTCAGTTCTGAAGCTGGGGTCCTGCAATACCTGGCTTTCCCCAGAATCAAATGAGACTCAGAGTGACTTGTTGGTTGCAGAAGGAGAGTTACAAAATTGTGCATCAGGTTCCGATTTTATCATTTTCTGGTTCATGTATTTATGTGGGGTCTTAGAATCGCTGGAGGGCTTTCCTGCCACAGTTCAGTCTGATCTCATTTATGAAGCAGGAAGAGGGCTCGTGTTATACAAATGAACATGGGACGCAGCATGGGGCTTGAAATGTTTGAATTTTGAACTTCAGGAAAGTAGATAGGCCTTTTCCCTTTTTCCTCATATGAACAGAGGACAGGTGTTAACCTAAGGATGGCCGAACCTGTCATCTCCACAGAGAAGAGGGATCCTTAGTAGGCACACGGCAGATGGCCTCTGTACTTTGTTTGGAGGAGTCCTTTGTAGACTTTGTAGCATTTTAAAGTGGATTCCTCTGGTAACTGAAATGAGGAGGGACAGAGATTTCATCCCCATTTTACACCAAGGAAAGAGAGATACAAATTGGGTATTAGGGTCAGAAACCAGAGTTAAGTGCTCAGAATGAAATATGGCCCACGATAGGTCGGCAGTCAGGCCTTTAGAAGATGGGGCACTCTCATCTCCCACTCCTGCTATGTCAGGCTGCTTCTCAGAGAAATGGTTCAAGGAGAAATGCCCATGAGCTATTCCTGTTTCATCCCCTGCCGTTCCTGTCCCCTCCTGGGTGTAGTCCTGGGAAAACACTCCTGAGTAGACTTGTTAGTGAAGTGGAGTTAGGGAGTGGTCTGTGGGAAGCCATGCTTGGATGGCAGAAGATAAGCTCCCTCAGAAAGGAGAATGGTTCAGCATACCAGAGTTCACAGACAGCCACACGATATCTGTGGTGTTTCTGGAGTAATAGTACAAAGCAAAATACCTAGTTCTTTTCAGGGAACTGGATCTTTCTCAGGAGGAGGCAGAGAACAGATATTTATGGAGTGCCAACTGTGGGCCCTGTTGGATGTGTCATCCTATGGGATGGGGTGATGAAAGGGGGTGTTGTGTTCTCTTGTTGTTAATGTCTTTGCTTTCTGTGTTTGAAACAGATACCAATGACACCGAGAGAAGCCCAGTGGCCAACCTATCCCAAGTCCACAGGAGTTTACTCTGCCCTGTAGACCTAGCCTCTGCCCAAGCTTCCTCCCTCACAAAGGTCTTGCTCCTTGGGCTAAAACCTGATACTAACTATACAGCCAAAGTTTATTCTCGAGCAGCAGATGGCACAGAAGGACAGCCTGGAAAAGAAGTCTTTACAACAAGTAGGTTGGATTTGCAAAATGGCTTCAGCCTGAGTCTCATTTGCAGTTCTCTTTATCTGAATTGTTTCTCTTAGAAACTAGTTCTGTTATTAGCAGGATATTCCTGAGAAGGGTTTTTGGATAGAGCCCAGGAACTGGGTTTCTACTTAACCTTTGTGACCACGGTGTATCTGTTGTGAAGCTCAGTAAGCACTGAGCAGGGGTGTAGATGTGGGGTGTCGCCTCACCCCTGTATCTGCTGATTAGCCAGAGAGCTTCTGTTCGGGTTTGCCGTTTGGATTCATATTGAACTTTCTGTTCAGTGTGTGTGTGTGTTGACATTAGCTTGAGTCATAGGCACTCCCACTCTGTGAGTTCAGTATTTGGAAGCTTTTGTGATTGGAGCTGATGATGGAATAAGGAGATGTATGGTTCCTGGTCTTGGGCATTTTCTGTGTAGATGGGGGGAGATAAACAGGCATGGAGACATCTGCACTGGGGTCTTTTGGGCTCAGGAACAGACACCCCAGCTTTGCGCCTCTCAGGGACTCGGTGTGCACTGAGCTGGGGTGTCTTAGCAGAAAACATTTTGAAAGACTGTCCTAGGTCAGCAGACCTGAGGGAGTGAGGGTGAAGAAGCAAGGGTCAAGAGCAAGGGCAGAAGATAAGCTGACATCCGGGGAGTGCAGGGCCGCGCTAGATCTGGTGGTGTGCTGGGATTCAAGGTCCCCGGATAGACGTCGAGTGGTCTGCTTGATGAATAGCTGTGCTGGGCGAGGGAGCTGTTGTCCCTTGACTCTCATGTAGGTGACTAGAAGTTCCTCCCACTAGGGGTGTGGAGCACTGCTCAGAAAGGAAGCAGGGCTGCTGCACAGGTGGCGCACGGCTCCTGCCAGTTCCGCTGCTTTCCAAATGCTATGGAACACGGTTTCAGCATCCAGTCCTGAGGGGGGTCTCCTACAGGGAGGATGGTAGGTCTTGGACAAATGCAGATGGGGTGGAAGGGGAGTGGGGGAGAGAGACACTTCAGTTTAGGAAGTGTCCTGATCAGAGGTACAGATGACAGGCCTAGCGTGTGAGGACAGAGGACTTCAGTTTAGGAAGTGTCCTGGTCAGAAATACAGATGACAGGCCTAGCGTGTGAGGACAGAGGACAAGGGAATAGGGGGAGGGATGGTGGCAAGGCAGCTGACCCCAGGGCCTTTGACAGATTTATGACTCTGTTTATTTATAAAAGATAGCCCTGGACCACAAGCCTCCTATCCTGAGGGGCGATACATCTGTATATCTATATATCATCTATCTATATCTCCAATATGTGTACACACACACACACACACACACACACACACACACACACACACACACATCTGGCATTGGTCAAGTGACTGGCTAAGTGGGTCAGGGTTAAGGGAACTATCAGAGTATATTTAGGACCTAAACTAGTGGCTGGTTGAAAGCTACCTGTGGAGCTGGAGTGAGGGAGGAGACAGTTTTTCTGGATCCTGGTAAAAGCAGAAGATGTGGGATGTAAGACTGATTATTCCCCTGTCAGCCAGCCCTCAGCATCTTGTCCATCTCATTCATGTGGAAGGACTCCAGTGATGTCACCTGCAGGAGGGTGCAGCCTCCTGGGGAATGGGACAGACAAGAAGAAAGACGGGATGGTCTGGAGAGTTGATAACTGGATGTAACAAGTCTTCTGTCCTGCTAGCCAGATCCCAGATAATGAACGACACAGGGACTTACTATCAATTGTGAAAGCTTGGCCTTAGCTTAGGCTTGTTTCTAACTAGCTCTTGTAACTTAAATTAGCCCATTTCTACTAATCTGCGTGCTGCCATGTGGCTTGTAGCTTTCACCTCTCCTCCCGCATGTCCTGCTTCCTCTCCATCTCCTCTGGCATCTCTCCTCTACCCAGATTCATCTCTTCTTCTCTCGCTGTGCCCGGAAGTCCCACCTAACCTCTTCCTGCCTAGTTATTGGCCACTCAGCCCTATTAAACTAGTCAGAAGGTGCCTTGGCAAAGACACGTCTTCACAGTGTACAAAAGGATTATCCCACAGCAGCTGGAGGATATCTAGTTCTCATGTGGTCTCTTTGTACGGTCAGGGTGGGTAACTGTCTGGCAGATGAGAAAGCAGCTCTGTGGCTTTCCTAAGGTCTGCCTGGATGGTCAGGCCCAGCTAGTCTTAGAATCCGTGTCCTCTCTGTCCAGGTGTGAGACCCTGAATTCATGATGAAGAATAGTGTTTGTTCTTGGGTGAATGTGAACTTGAGGACTTTTCTGCCCTCCCCCCCTCCCCCACCGCAGCATATGTGAAAGTCCATAAGTCAATACTGTTGGTTTGATCTGGAATCTGTAGTATCTGTGAGGTGCAGTTGGCCAGAGTGTGTCTTCACTGATCCCCGTCTTCGGTGAGACTCACATTCATTCTGGTCCCCGTGAGCTGCTGATGAGGGTGACCAGTCTCTAAACGTGTTCCTCAGGACTAACGGCAGGTCCTGGTGATATTCTCCTCTCTTCTCGTCCAAACTTGACCGTTTCTGATTATTTTTCACTCCTCTGTGTTTTCAAAGATTCCATCCAGGTTTCTGACATGAGAGCTGTGAACATCAGTGCCACAAACTTGGCCCTGACCTGGAAGATCAATTACAATGAGTCATCTTTTTGCTACACCTACAAGATACATGTGGCTGGGGGGGTCCATTGCCATCAACCAAACTGTCAATAAGACTGAGGCCATCATCCACGGACTCACTTCGAGCACCTTGTACAACATCACAGTACGTCCTTTCCTGGGTCACACCGAGGGCACACCAGGCTTCCTCCAAGTATATACTTGTAAGTCCACTCCTTGGTATCTGGTCTGGTTTGCTTTTCTGTTGTGGTGGTGGTAAACCTTGTGACCAAAGAAAGTTGGGGGAAGAAACAGTTTACTTCAGGTTATACTTGCAGGTGGCAAGCAATCTGTTACTTAGGGAAGTCAGAGCAGAGCTGAAGCAGAAGCCAGAACTCGGCCTATTGGCTAGCTTCCTGGCTCATGCTCGGCTAGTTTTCTTAAACAACCTGCCCAAATACAGTGTGCTTATAGTGGGCTGGGGCTGCCCACCTCAATCATCAGTCAAGACCATTTCTTACAGTCATGGCTATAGGCCAGTCCAGTCTGGGAAATTACACAGCTGGGGTTTCCTTTTCCCAGGAGACTCTAGGTTGTGCCAAGTTAACATTAAAAACTAGTCAGCACTCTATAGCTCCCCTTCCTTGTGATCTACTGTATGCTAGGTCTCAGTATAAGGCAAGGAAGGAAACCCAATTCTGTCCTGAAGGAATGCATAGCACTGCCCATGGCTCCACAGGGCTCATTTGCCCTAAAGGGTGTGAGACATAATGACAGTGATCATTGACTGGCCATAATCACATGTTCAGTGATGTGCTACTTTTGCACTGTGTCGCTGAGTGAGTGGACATCCTTGTGGTATGGTTGGTGTAGCCTTACTTTATGGAAGTGGAAGCCATGTCTGAAGTAATGTGGGCAGGCATCTTAGCAGGGAAATGCTAAAGGTGAGATTAGACCTTTGAGAATAGCATGTTGAATATAAAGCAGTTAGCCATGGCCAACACTCGTCCTCAGAGCCTGGGAACCCTTACCTCCTGTCATTGTCTGTGGGTGACTGGCATGGTATCTGCATTCTTGTGACCAAGTGATCCTTCTTTAGCCAGAAGAACCATTTTTTGAAGGGACTTCTGTAGTTGGTGCTCTGGAGAAAAGCAAAAGGGAGAACAGGTCAGTGTTTTATGAGGGTCTATCACCCTGTCCTCTGGAGACAGACTTTGCACTTTTGTTCTTGAGACAAGGTTTCAGTTTGTAGTCCAGGCTGCTCCTGTCTTAGGTTCCCAAGTGCTGGTATTGTGGGCAGTGCTACTACTGTACCATGCCTGGAGATGGAGGTCCTTCATCTAACCTTCCTCCCTGTCTTCCACAGCCCCTGGTCCAGTTTCTGACTTCCAAGTGACAAATGTCAGCACAAGGGGAATTGGTTTGACTTGGAGAAGCAATGACTCAGAATTTAGGATTCTTACCATGAAGGAGGGAGGTGAGAAGATTAAAAACAATATAACCAGAAATCAGAGCTTTGTCGTTGACAATTTAAAGCCTGGAACCAGCTACCGCTTTGAAATATTTCCACGAGGACCAGATGGGACTGAAGGGCCACCCAGAACAGTTGATGCTATAACTGGTAAGTATCCTGACCCTGGCTTCTTACCGGAAACCAGCATAGTTTATAGATGTCTTGTTTTCCAAATATATTTTTCTTTGTATGAAAAAGAATCTTAAAATATTTCATGACTGTGTGCAGTGCATAGCATTAATACAAGTGAAGAAAAAAATCACATGTAAACCTATCAATTAGGTGCCACAGTGGTATGAGGAGGTCAGAGGATAACTTTGGGAGTTGGTTCTCTTCTACCCTGGGTTCTGGGAATTGAACTCTGGGAATTGTGTGGCAAGTGCATTTACTCATTGAGCCATCTTATCAGCCCCCTACCTCCTTTGTGGTCTCTAACTTACTGTGTAACTGAGGTTGGCCTTGAACTCCACCTTACAAATGCTGAGATCAGGGTTATATGCTACGATAACTATCTCCCTGATACTATTTTAAGGCACATGCAAACATGCATATTTACCTTTTATAAACCTTGCTGTCTTTGTTCATTTGTGGTTTTTAATAGTCTGTTTTCTCTTCACTTACCTGTGTATTGTGAATAGTTCCCCCTGCCGTTGCTACTTACTTACTCATTTATTTATTGAAACAAGGTTTCACTGTGTAGCTCTGGCTGGCCTAGAACTGGTAGGTTTTGTAGACCAGGTTGGCTTTGAAATCACAGAGATCAGCCTGCTTCTGCTTCTCAAGTGTTATGTTAAAGGCATGTGCCAACATGTCTGGCAATGTTTATTTTATGGGATAATTTAAAATCAGCCTTGTATTTGTGTGTGGCCTAGGGGTAGGTAGGAAGGGAAAGGTAGTGTGAGGTAGGTACAGATTTTACATTGAAAAATGATGAAAACATTTTGAGTGTGATAATGGTAATGTTTATACAATACTAAGGATATACTTAGCGATGCCAAAATGCACATTGACAGATGGTTTATTTACTGTGCTAGAGGGAAAGGAACATATGTAACTCTTAACTGCTCTCATATGACTGCATTTCTTTCCTGTCTGTGTCCACAGCCATACCTTTTGTTCACATCGTCATAGTTATACGATGAATTTTATTTTCATGTGAACGTTTTGCTGTGTGTGTGTAGCGATCCTCCCCATGCTAGCCTGATCTTCCTGCTTTTAGAGAAAGGTTTCATCATGTAGCCATATTGTAGTTTATAAAGCTCTTTCCTCTTTAGTGTGCCAGGTGGGCCATAAGAATGCACGGTCTTTTGAGTGAATGATGAAAAACAAGCAAAACAATGCTTAGCTTATTTATTTAGACAGGGTCTTGCTATGGAGATCAAGCTGGCCTTGAACTTGAAATCCTCCCGCCTCAGCTTTATAGATATTATTGGGATGTGAGGGGTGCATCATGCTCACCTTCAAGCACACTCGTTATTGAGGTGCAATATAGGTATAAAAAGGGTACCCATACTCAGTGGATAGCTTGATGAAGTGCTGCAGGTCAAATGCATCAGAATCCCAGTTCAGAGTAAGAAATGGAGCATGGACCTGGAGAAATGGCTGGCAGTTAAGAACACTGAGTGATCTCTGGGTTTGATCCCTAGCACTCCCAGCCACCTGTAACTCCAGGTCAGGTGATCCAGTGCCCCCTCTTCTGGCCTTCATGGGTACCAGGCACACAGTTTGGCCTTTCCACGGAGGGTCCCTTACCTTTGATTCACTGTGTCTGAACTCCTGGCTAAACAACCGAATTGGTTCTTTTGACAGACCCTTTGAAATGAAGCTGGAATCATGACTAGACACTTTTCTTCCTTTTTCTCTTGCCTAGATCGCAGCGCTGTGATTGACATCCTTGTGGTCAGTGTCTCCTCCAGTGAAATGCAGCTGGAATGGGAGAATACAGACCGTGTTCCTGGATATAACTACCATGTAGTTCTAGAGTCTGAATATGGCCACAGCAATACTACCAGTTCTCAGAAATTCATCACACTAAGGGACCTCACCCCAGGCACCTTGTATAATGTCACAGTCATTCCAGAAGTGGACCAGGTCCAGGGTGACGCCAACTCCATTGCCCAGTACACACGTGAGTCTTGTGGGGGAAGGGGCAGTGGGCGTTTGTCCGCCTGTCACATGGAGGAAGGGCGGATTATGCCTCTGGGTTTCAGGTTAACTTAAAAGCACCAGTCTTAGCAGAGACTCTTCAGCTCTTGTGGGCACTGTGGCTGGAGCCATGGGAACACAGACCTGTTCTCTGGAAGCAGAAAATACCATCATCTGAGAATCAAGGATGTCGTGCTGCCTGCTGCTTACGCCTCAGAAACACAGACTAGAGAGCTGTTGTCCTGAGGCACCGAAGGTCCCCTCAGATGAGGGTCTCTTCCTGTGACAGTGAGAGAGAGGCTTCCTTAGCTTTCGATGGGAAAGATGGTGGAAGTGGCAGCTTATCACATGCTTCATCTTCCTTGTTAGGTTCCAGAAGGAGCTTGGAAATTGTAGTGCGCGTTCCCTCTTCCCCCTCTATGAAATAATGTATTGAAATGTACATGGTAAACTTAAATAGTAAAAGAAACCTGAACATTTTAAATTCTTTTTAGATTTGGTATGTATAATTTTCTGAATGTCTTTTTGGGTAATCATCTTTTGTGACAGTATATATTAATTATATTACTTTTTTCTTGAAAAAAAGCCAGGCCAGTTTTGGATATAGTAAATCGCATAGTAATTCAAAGTGGTTCATTTTATTTGTTTATTTAATTTTAAACCAAGGACCCAGCAATGTGTCTGACATTGAAGTAAACACCAGCACCACCGTGGCAACCATCTGGTGGAACAGTGAGGACAAAGCCTCTCCTGAGTATACCTACCGCCTTCTCATCTCGAAGGCTGGAGATGGCGGCAGTGTAACCAAGATGGTCATCACAGACGTTGGAATCACTTCTCAGATGGTCTCTGATTTAATCCCTGGCTCCTGTTACACCGTGGAGATCTTTGCAAAAGTTGGGAATGTTACAGAGTCACTGGTACCTGGCTGGAAGTCATTCTGTATGGGTGAGTAGTCCCTGTTCTTCCCTGTGTGATACTCGGGATGCCTTCCCAAGCCTGTCAGTTACCGTGCCTGCTGTGGGCAGCTGTGGATGTGGAGCGCCGGAAGAGAGTCAGCAGCTTATTAACGACGCATTGATGCTGTCGCCCTTGCTTCATTCAGCATGTGTTTACTGAACACTTGCTAAACCTCCATTTCTAGAACTTTTATCCTGGTGAATAAAACATAATAAATAAAAGTGAGCGGATAGTGTAAGGATTCAGGCATTATGCTGGCCTACCCTTGTCACCTGGCAGAATGCACTCAGGCAGTACTCTGGTCAGCCCAGGTGTAAAGGCCCCCTTTAAAAGAAAGACCTCTGCCCACTTACGTTCTCTTTCTGCTTTCTCTTTCTGCTTTCTCTTTCTGCTCTCTCTTTCCCTGGGGGCAGGCGGGACTTTTCTATCTTTTCTCTGTCTTTTTACTCCTTCTCTCCCCCCACCTTCTAATAAAACCAAGCTCTGTCTGCCTGGCATGTTTGTGCCTCTGCCTCGGTCGCCCTTGCCTGCCATGGAATCTGCCGAGTTCCCCCTTGAGCTTCATCATATCAGTTAGGTGATGATAATGGCTAAGAGGGAAAAGAAAAGAAAACTATGGAAGTGGGAAATGGTACTCCTATCTAGGGTGTCATGTGAGGATGCCCCATGGAAAGGTGACTGATCAAGATCTGATGGAGTAAAGAGCCAGCCACATGGACACCACAGGGTTTTGACCCCTGCATTGTGAGCAGAGGAGCGGCCAGTGCAGAGGCCGCGAGGCTGGAGAGAACAGGGTGCTGGAGCATTTATGCGACGCCAGAGTGGCGGGAGTGGATCTGCAGGAGCTAGACCTTGAGGGGCAGGAGGCACCAGAGCTCGGTGCTTGGCCCCTGGTTTTTCCTATGGCGTGGTTAAAGATCTCTGTGGTTTTAGTGACTGCATCCCACTTGGTCTACTTGCTTACTTTGTGTTGTGAGTCGTGTTGCTGGGGCTTCTGTTGTCATTGTAAGAGAAAAACCCACATGAGCATGTGTGGCTGGGATGGTTGGAATGGGACCTGGGAACTGAACTTGGGTCCTCTAGAAGAGCAGCAAGCACTCTACCTGCTAAGCCTCCTCTCCAGCTCTTCCGAGAATATTGCTTGGTGACTGACACTCATGTTTCATTTAATCCTCAGACAGTCTGCACTGACCCCCACTGAATAAGGTGGCTGACCCAAGGTCACATGGTCCGGTATCTCTTAGTTCATTCAGCCTGCGCATATCCATGCTGTCTTTTTTTTTGTGCTGGGCCAGGCCCTCTGCTTCCTGTGAGCCTTACCTTGCCCTGCACGTGTTTGCAGAACCTGCACCAGTGTCCTTCCTCTACTGTGAGATGGTCCCCAAGGAGCCGGTTCTGATTCTGAAGTGGCCCTGCCCCCCTGGCATGAATACAGGCTTTGAGCTATGGGTCCGGAATGACACTTGGAACAATATGACATACCTGAAGAACTGCACTTCAGAGGATGATACAGAATGCAGGGGAAAAGTACAAAATTTGGCATTTTCTACCTCATACAACATCAGCATTGTCACCTTGTCGTATGGAAAGATGGCAACTGCCACCCAGAGCACCTGCACCACCGGCATCACAGGTGGGTCCCGAAGCCGGCTGCCCCCGGAGCAGCCGGTCCAGCAGCATGCAAGGGCCGCCCAGGGATCCTTTCAGGGTGTTTACATTCCCTTAAAGTATTTTTACCAGCAGACTGCTTACCTTAGTCTGCAGAAACCCAGCCTGAACCTGCAGAGTGAGAGAGGTATGTGTTTCACATCCTGAGTGGTTCTGTGTTCTGTGGCCTTACAGAATAGCTTGTTACCATGTTTCATTTCTTCCCTTCCATTCCTCCCCCACCCCTGATAGTATGGAGTTCCCTTATTACATTTAAGAAAGGCATTTTTAACAGAACTGTTCAGATGTATGCTAACTCTGGACAGCGGGATGAGACTCTTGTCAGCATTTGGGCACTCTCAGCACGTTTACATCTCCTCTTTCCTTCTAAGCTCTTGTTGGAAGGATGCTTCTGAAACCTGATTTGACCATGGTTTCCTTGTATTTGTGAATACTTCCACATGGACCACTTCAAGATAAGGACTCTCTTTCCCTTATAGCCATAGTACTCTGACCACCATACTTACGGAAGAAGACTTAAAAAGCAGAAACATTATTGTGTATTCAGTCAGGACTTACTTGCCTGGAGTCTGTTGACAAGAGCCTGGATTGCTTTGGGGAAAGAAAAGATCACATACTACATAGGGATCTCCTCATTCAACCCTTCCTATTTATTCCTTTTCGTTCTCCCCTTCTCTCCCACCTCCCTGCTTGGGGAGAATTGACTTATTTTGTCTGTCCATTGCTTTCCTGTCTTTGCCAAACTTGTGTTTTAGTTCAGCCAGTGGGGTGGTGGTGTTATAATTTTCTTTGTGTTTTTTTTGACTTTTATCTTCTTCAGGACATAAGACTATCTCTCCCAGTTTCTAAAGAACTAGTGGTTGTTCTGAAAGGGCCTCTTATTATAAGGACCTGACTTGGAAAAGTGGTTGAGGCTCAGAATAGATAGGTAGACCGTGGTTTGAGTTTGGTTTATCCCATTCACCAGTCATGCGATCTTTAGAAAAGATAATCAGCCTTGCAAAGAGTCTCAGTTGTGATTACCTTCTGGGACTGCTGTACTGCACATCACACATTGAAGGCCGCACCCTTGGCTGCTCAGGTTGTGTACTGTGCAGTCTCAGGGAAAACAGCATGCATGGCGCTCCCTAAAGTTGTGTAGCACATGATGGTACCCTACCCCGTGGCACACCACTTTGGCTTTGTAGAACATAGTGGGTACAGTGACCACTTCATTTCCCCCTTTGTAGCTCCTCTGTTCATGGTATCATCTTCGTATAAACTGCTGAAGAACAGAGACCGAGGCTGAGTCTGTGTCTCTTGGGCTGAGTGTAGCGCTTGGTAGAGAGCATAGAAGCTCGTCAGAACTAGGTATCCCTGGGTTGGGGCTGTAGCTCAGTTGGTAGAGCACTTGTTTGGCATGCATGAAGTTTGAGTTCAGTCTCTGGCACTCCGTAAACTGCATGTGGCAGCACATACCTGTAATCCCAACACGGAAGGGAAAGGCAGAAAGCTCAAAAGTGTGAGGTCAGCCTTGGCTGTCATAGGGACTTCAAAGCAGCCTAGGCTATATGAAAATAAGCAAAAAGAAAGGGGAAAAATACGCTGAACTGACAGGACCATACATCACTTCATGCAGCAATTCTCATGTTTTTCAACTGGTAGCTTCTTTTTGCAGATGAATATTTATAAACTCATATATTTAACACAAATGCCAAGTTACATTTTCTCTGGGTTGGGAAATATTGGAGAAAAGAAGAGTTGGGGTGAAAGACTCTGGTGCGTTTGTTTCCTGTGTGCTGGGGGTAAGGGACGTGACGGGGTGGGCTAAGTTTAGTTGGGGTGAAAGACTCTGGTGCGTTTGTTTCCTGTGTGCTGGGGGTCAGGGATGTGACGGGATGGACTAAGTTTAGCATTGGGAGGGAGGAAAGAGAAGGAGTGGGTTCTGGAGCTGCCTTGGGTAAGCTACATAGTGTGCTGCTGCCAGTCTTGGGGTGGGAAGTGTGATATCCTTTCTGACTGTCTGAGAGCTGGAGAGCTGATGGTAAGTGTGGGGGCATCTGTGGAGTCATTGCCATCCGGGCTTGTGCAGGATCCAGGTCTCTGCACAGTACTTACTCCCCTCCTGCCTCTTACTTTGGGATATAATTTGGATGAGCTCTGCATATAGCTTACTGTACAAGGGGTGGGTTTTCTTGGACATGGGTAGATATTCCTGGGCAGGGGCATGTCTTGTAAAGAGCATTCAAGCATAATGTCTACCTGGTAGTTTTTCTCCTTTTATTTTAAATGTTGAGTGATTCTTCTGTTTTGTATTGTTTTAGACCCACCTTCTCCAGATGGATCCCCTAATATTACATCTGTCAGTCACAATTCAGTAAAGGTTAAGTTCAGTGGTTTTAAAGCCAGCAATGGACCTATCAAAGCCTATGCCATCATTCTCACCACTGGGGAAGGTAAGGAGGGGCCAGCATGGGTTAACTTGTGTTACATAACTATCCTGATTACTTTATCGTTGTAATAAAACACCATGACCAAAGCAACGTATACAAGAAAGTGATTAATTAACAGGCTTATGGTTTCAAAGGGTTAGAGCCCTTGATGGTGGAGTGAAGGCACAGTGGCGGGAACATCTGAGAGCACGCGTCTCGATCCACAGCTAGGAAGTGGGTGTGTGTGGGGGCGATGACACACTGGGATTCACACTTGTAACCTCAGAGCCCAACCCTGATGACACACCTCCTCCAACAAAGCCACATGTCCTAATCCTTCCCAAACAGTTCCACCAACTGGAGACCAAGTATTTAGATGTATGAGCCTATGGGGACCACTCTCAGTGGACCACCACTGTGAGGATGCTGTGACCTGAGCACATCAGCGGCACAAGCACATGCCTCTCGACATTGCAGCCTGCGCTTCAGCACTCACAGGGAGGGAGGCAGCTGTTTGCTTGATGCGCTGAGTGATCAGGTAGCAAGTAGCTTAAGCTTTCCTGACCATGCAGTCTCTGTCACAGCTATCCAGCACCTTCATGGTGGTGTGGAAACATGTATGGAATATCCATGAGGGATGAGGGTGCCCATCCCCACAGCTGTTTACACACAGGTGGTGGCTAGATTTGGCCCATAGGCTATAACTGGCCAACTTAGGATGACCAGCTCTTCAAAGCAAGCACGAAATGATTGCCCTTGCTGGTGGGACTCCGTGAAGGGCATCTACTGGGTGAAAGGGGAGGGGAATTAGAATAGCTTCTCTATGCCAGATGGAAGGGAATGATTTGAGGGCATCTCTGATCACTGCATGGGAGTGTTTTACCCAAACCAGGACTAGGGAGATAGGTCAGTTGGTAAAGTACTTGCCTTGTGCAGGCTCTGAGTTCAGTCCTTGGGACCTACATTACAGAAAGAGCTATTCATTGTGACATGCCCTTGTAATCCTGGGGCTGGGGAGGCAAAGGCAGGAGGATCCCCGAGCTCCCAGGCCAGTCAGCTTAGCCAGCATGGTGAAGTTCCAGGCTAGAGAGAAACTCTGACTTAAAAAAGGTAGAAGGTGCCTGACGACTGATAGCTGAGGTTGTCCTCTGGCTCCTACACACATATGGATACACATGCAGCCAAACTAGCTCACACACATGTACCAGAACCCCGATGAACACACATAAACAAAACGTGGAGATCTCTCTCTTTCTCTCCGAATTTGAAAATTTTGATTCTTTTCATAAGCCCTTTGTCATTGAACTTGTTTTCAAAAAATTTCAAACTCAGACCCATGCTGAATGAAAAAGATCCTGTAGCATGGTGACCAGGCCAGTCAGCACCAGCCTGACACAAGAAAGACAGGTGATCAGGGCTAGGAACCCAGCTTCAAGGCCCGTGCAGTGTGGCTCTGGGCAGGTTTCTGCTACCTCTCTGCACTTTGTCTTTCTTGCTTGAGAATATGGATCATAAGCCTTTGTGGGAAACTCAAGATGAAGGAATGAGGTGGCATGAGAGACAGTGGCCACTGGCATCATCGCTCACCACCTGTGTCATCACTGGGTTATTTCATGACATGTACGTCTTTCTGCTGTCACTCATGATTTGCCTTTGTGTTCCCTTCTTAGCTGGCCAACCTTCTGCAGATGTTTTAAAGTATACATATGAGGATTTCAAAAACGGGGCCTCGGATACTTATGTGACATACCTCATAAGAATAGAAGAGAAGGAGCGCTCTCCGGCCTTGTCTGAAGTCTTGAAATATGAAATTGATGTGGGGAACCAATCCACCACCCTTGGCTATTACAACGGGAGGCTGGAGCCGCTGGGCTCCTATCGGTAACATGGGTTCTTGCAGTTGGGTGCTGAGCCTTGTGAATTTAAGGTTCTAAGTAACAAGGCGGTACATACACCTCAGTTAACTCAATTTCTCCTTTGTTCCCCCGCCCCCCATAGGGTGTGTGTCGCTGGCTTCACCAATATTACCTATAACCTTCACAATGATGGACTCATCAATGGGAATGAGAGCTATGTGTCTTTCAGTCAATATTCGGAGGCCGTGTTCTTGCCTCAGGACCCAGGTAGAGGGAAACAACAGCCCTGACTGACATCAGTGCAGTGGGTTCTCCACCTCGTGTCCGCAGGAGCCTGCTCTCCGTGCACCTATGGCAGGCGCCTAACCGGAGGAGGTGCCTGGCTTTCTCCTCTCAGGAGCTGGCATGTCTCTTGGCTTTTGGGCCAGCGTAGCTCCCGACTCCAAAGAGCTGCTCCCCACTTCTTCTCTAAAACCAGTCACACTTCTAGTATGCAGATTACTCAGTCCTTTGCTTTCTTTCCAAGAGTCATGTGTGGGCCCTGTGCCAGCAAACATGTGACTGAGTTTAAGGAGTCTTTGAATGTTCACATTAGAAGGTGTCCCAAAAGTTGTCTTATCTAATCTCTGTGTAGAAATAAAGCTTCTGAGGCCCAGTGTTACACAGTGGCTTAAATGCAAGCCTGAAATTCTAGCCTCAGACTCCTTGTAAAGAGCCCCTCCTATCCAGTATCACAGAGTTAGAAATATGGGCATTTCATGGACCCAAGGTGAGGATTTCCCTCCCCCTCCAGGATGGAGACACAGTGACTGACTGGTCTATTCATTTGTTTTTCATAGCTACTAAGTAGAACAGATAACTCAGAGGCAAAATCCAGGGAGTCCCTACTCCTCCCTTTAAGTAGCCCATAAAAAGGGGGTTCCATGCTGTGTGTAGTATTGTAGGTGCATCTGCTCATAGGTGATGGGAAAATCCACTGATCTCAGGTCACCAAATTTGCAGCTGAACCGAGACCTAGCCAGGGGTTCATGATGGTCTCAGGACCATTCTGCTAATGGCGGGCTCAGGGTGAAGAAACCAGCTCTTGAAAGCTGCAGTTTTATGTCCAAAGATACCGATTTTTCTGCTGCATGCACCACACCCCTTTCTCCCTGAGTCCTGTGTGGGTCCTGGGCTGGTGGTGGTTGTAGCACCCGGCCCTTTGTGAACACCAACTGAAATGCCTCTTGTTGGGCCTTCCCCAGGTGTCATCTGTGGAGCAGTGTTCGGCTGTATCTTTGGTGCCTTAGCAATTATGGCTGTGGGAGGCTTCATCTTCTGGAGGAAGAAAAGGTGATACTACTTTTTCTAGTCACCGCGTGCTGCTGTTTAAGGAAACCTTTCATCGGAAGGCATTGGAACCAGAATTACTCCTCTCTGACTCCAGTGGGTGGTTTGATTCTGAGTCTCACCCCAGTCACCACATCAGACCTACCCTGCTGTGCAGGATGCTGCCTTCAAGCCCGGGTCCTACAAATGTGTTAAGAATTCCATACGATTTTAGAGTTGGCCAACTTCGAACTTAGGTTCCACCCTTGTTAGCCGTCGGAAGTGGCTTAGCCCTAGCGTCCTCCTCTGTGGTATGGGAGTGAGTGCTTGACTCAGGATGCTGAGGCGTGGTGGCAGATGTCTCACTCCATGTCTTTTTATCCGTTGTTTCTTCTCCCACCACCCCGTGACGTAGTTAATTAGTGGAAAGCAGCAGTTTCATTTTGGGTGCCCTCTGCTTCACGACCTTCCCGAGGCTCTAACAGGCAGGTCTAAAAGCCCTTCTGGGGATGCAGCATCAGGCTTGGAAGCACCGAGAGAGGAACTTGAACTTGGTCTTACCTGACTGTGGGAAGCCTGTGTCTTGTTGGAATTCACTTACTGCCAGGTGCTTCTAGATGGAAATTTCCATCTGGGATTTGGCTTTCTCAACATTCCCTGCCCCCCTTTTGAGATCGATTCTTATGTGTCTTAGACTATTTCAGATGTAGCAGAGGGTGACTCATGCCACTGTCTAGTGTGTGCTGAGCTATAGGCACGTGTGCCACAGTAGTTGTTTTACCTTTCTCCTAACCAGATACGGTTGCTTCTCTTCATGTCAATTAAATCTTTCACACTTTACTAAAAAATGAATCAGAACCGAGTGTAAAAGCTGGAATGTCAGTAGTCAAGTCAGTAGGGCACAGGCAGTCACGTCTCAGTAGGAAGCTGGTGGCAAGAGATAGAGCCACACAGTGGGACCTGTCTCAAAACAACAAGTAAATCCCCAAACCCGAAACTCAAACCCCTGGTTTTTATATATAAAAAAACCACAAGGAAAGCAAAGAAATTCGGTAACCCATAATTACAGCAAATCTGCTCTTAGCATTTTCATGTGAACATGATGCTCACCCAGTAGAGTTGTTAGACACATTAATGTCTCCCCTGCTTTGGTCACATAAGACCCGATGGAGGGCTTCATTTCAGCATCATTTTAAGTAACTGCCGGGTATTTACCATCGTTCATTCTACTGGCTATTTAAATGACTTTTGGCTACAGTTGCATGTCCTTGTACCTAACCTTTGGGCATGCTCATGATTATTTCCCTAGGCTAAATTCCAAACAGGATCCTTACTGGGTCAGTAGGCATACTCCCCGCACCCCCCCATTTTGGTACACGCTGCCCAATTGCAGTTTCTGCACCAGGCGGAGCTGAGCCAACAGTACAGGTGCTCACAGTGGTAGTATTGGAGCTGACTCTGCTTCAGGGCTTCTCCCTCTCTGCATCAATTCCCACCGTGACTTTTACAGTAAGGGAATGTGTACACACATACACACACACACACACACAATGTGTACACAGACACATACACTGTACACACACACACACACACACATCTCTCTCTCTCTCTCTCTCTCTCTCTCTCTCTCTCTCTCTCTCTCTCTCTCTCTCTCTCTCTCTCTCTCACTCAAATAGACTTTTGATTCGTCTCAGTTTCCTGCACGGCTGTTAGGCTGAGCATTAGTGAGCATGGTTATGTTGGTGGGGCCCTGGTGAGCAGGCTTTCGTTTGACCTGAGCCACTGCTTGGGAAGAAGGTGTCTGTGGATACGTGAAAGATGGCAGAGCAGGATGAAGGTCTTTGTCTAATGGGCCTTTTTTCTTCTCCCTTTCAAAATAGGAAAGATGCCAAAAATAATGAAGTCTCGTTTTCTCAAATTAAGTAAGTCTGAATTACAAATATATTTTAAGATTCTCAGCCCTCCCCCAGTCTGTTCAGTGACTATCTAAAGCATTTTTTTGATAGAAATAGCTGACATTTTCCCTGACTGACAGATCAACCACGATCATTGGAAGTTCTTGCTGTTTTCTGCAAGGAGTCTTTGTTTTACTATCCTCCTGAAGTTACGTTCGTTTTTGTTTCCCTACAAGTCCTTCAGTTTTACTGATAAGTGGGGTTCTCTGCATGCCTAGTGTACTTGTGTGTGCAGGTATGCATCCCCATGAGTGCCCAGAGACCGGAAGGGGATGGCTCTTATCGCTGCCTGCTGTGGTCCCCTGAGACAGGGCTTCCTGCTAAATTCAGAGCTATACTGACAACCAGCCGGCCTCTGTCATTCTCCTGTCCCTACCCCATCCAGCACTGGGGTTACAGGTGCATGTGGCCATGCCTGTCTTTATGTGTGGGTGCTGAGGATTGGGACTCAAGTGTCCATGTTTGGGCAGCAGGCACTCTGGCCCACTGAGCTATCTCCACAGCACCCGCACAGGGTAATTGTCCTGTTTTACAAAAGTGAGGGGATTTTCAGGAGCTGAGGAAAATCAGTTATTTCACAAGTATGACCAGTTACAGGATAGGGCTGCTTTCCTGATTTGCATTTTGTTTTTTTAAATAACATTGCATTAGTCTCCAACCTACACCCCTCACTGTGTCTGACTTTGTTCTTTTGAGTTGATGCTTACTTCTAAAATGAGTACGTCTTTCTAACTGATTAATTTTTTTCTTTTTTCTTTCTGTGATGAAGACCTAAAAAGTGAGTAGCTTCATTTTTACGTTTCATTTTTATGTTTTGAGTCTGAACTTAATTGAATGAAAAAATAAGCAAAAAATAAAACCCAACTTTTTTTTTCCTCCTTAGATCCAAGTTAATTCGAGTGGAGAATTTTGAAGCCTACTTTAAGAAACAGCAAGCTGACTCCAACTGTGGGTTTGCAGAGGAATACGAGGTACGTGGTCGTAAACTGTTGTGTATTATGGTAGAGCTTTGGGTGAGAGGCAGCCTAGAGGGGAGAGAAGACTGTGCCTGTCCCTCTGGGGCATCCTGCTCCTGCTGTTGGCTGGAAGCACACACGGGCCTTCACTTGTGATGGAACATGTGCTTAGTCTACCTGAAGATTGTCCAGGGAGAGACAGAGACAGGGATTGAAGCTAGGGGACCATTTACCAGGGTCATTGATAAGCTATATGAGCAATAAAGAAGCCACATGGGCCATTTGGAGGTCTGGGGCTTGACAGCTGTGGGGTCAAAGGTGACTCTGGACTTTACTAGTTTCTTGACTTTCAGGCTCTGCTACTTCCTGTTCCCCAGGAACTGTTGTCACTTGGAAGGAGCAAACACTCTTGTTCCCCTGTGGCCAAGTCTACTTTTGTATTCCCAGAGTCCACCATCATAGCTCATCGTCAGTTCTGACACTGCCTCCTCCCCATGCCTCAGATCCCACAGGCAGACTCAGTCTGTGTTACATTTGTTCTTCTAGGGCCTGGTTCTGTCTGTGTGCCTCACTCTGCCTTGCCAGGCTAGTGACTCCTGAATATCCAGCTTGTAGACGGCAAGAATCCTCCTTTCCCTTTCATTTTTACCTCTAGTTTGGTTTCTTAAGTGCTGCCCTATCTAAGTACCACAAACTGGGTGGCTGACAAAGTTACTGTCTCATTGTTCAAGATGCTCAAAGTCACAGTGTCAGCAGGACATGTTCTTCCTTAGCCTTTGGGAAGATCCTTCCACGATACTCCCTGTTTCTGGAAAGTCCCCATTGTCCCTTGATTTGGGGTGTTTCCTTGTTTCTGCACTCATAACAGCATAACCCATATTAGGTTAAGGACTCACCCTATTCCAGTGTGACTTCATTTGACTGATCGCATCTTGCATGGCCATATCCTCTAAGCGCCTACTCACAGGTATTGCGGAGTTCAGATGCTCAGCATCTCTTTCCAATGAGCAGTAATCCGCTCTGCCTCTGCATTCCTACTTTGTTCTGCCCTGTGCCCGAATAAATACTCAACTCACTTACTTTGTTTTCAGGATCTGAAGCTGATTGGAATAAGTCTATCTAAATGTACAGCTGAGATAGCTGAGAACAGAGGGAAGAATCGCTATAACAATGTCCTGCCTTGTGAGTGTTTTATTCCTGCCTTCCCTTTGTCTGGTACTGGCCTTCACGTCAATGAAACCCACTTGCTATCTCCACTATCATTGAGCACCACATATTCCCACAAGCGTTTACCTAATGAACCAGGTACTCCATGAAGAGTGTTATATTTAATTTTACCCTAACAACCTCAGCTTGGAGAGTAGGTTGTGGATATCCATTTCACAGGTGAAGAAAATGAACCACTGTGTTATGTGACCCATTCAGAGTTGTATTCTTGTTCTAGTTGTTCTGGATGAAAGGGGCAGCAGGAGAAACAGGTCCAGAGGTTGACATTGGGTTGTCTTCCTCAATTGCTCTCTGTCTGTTTTTTTAAATTGAAAATGCTTTTTTTCCCTGTTATTCCCACTGATAAGGAAAAATCAGTTGTCCACAATGGAGGTTCACAACCTTGATCAACAACACTCCAGGGCAGGCCCTATGAACAGGAATAGTTAGCCAACACAGAATGAACTCGGTTTTTGTCTGTTTATTTGTTTGGGTGAATAGTTGTTTGTTTGCTTATATTTGTGCATGTGATGGTTTGAAATAAAATGGCCTTCAAAGGGGAAAAAAAAGAAAATGCTTTTTTTAATACAATATGTTCTGATCACACTTTTTCCTCAATCATCTTACCCCAGGTCCTCCCTACCCATTCATTTTTGAGACAAGGGTCATTATTGATCCTGGATCTTGATGATTCAATTAGAGTAGCTGGCCATGGAGCCCCAAGAAGCTTGTTTCTCCCTCTCCAGTGCAGAGATTATAGGTGTGCATTGTGGGTACTAGGGTTTTGAATTTAGGTCCTTACATTTGTATGTCAGCACTATACTGGTTGAGCCTTCTCCACAACTCCAAATATAGAACTTTATTCGTCTGTCTGTCTGTCTGCCTGCCTGCCTGCCTGCCTGTTGGTTTGTCATCCGTCCGTCTGTCCGTCCGTCCATCCATCCATCCATCTATCTTTGGTTTACTGATTGTCCATATGTATGGGTATGGATGTGCCATGGCATGTGTGTGGATGTCAGATCTCTCCCTCCATCATGTGTAACTTGGGGGCCAGACTCAGGTTACCGGTCTTGGCAGCCAGCTTCAATGCCTGAAGCATCTCACTAGCCTTGTAACAACTTTATAAGGCAGTGGGGAAAGGTTAACTTGGATGTCTTTTCTGCCATAGTAGAATAGGCTTTGAGTTCAGATTCTGTCTGTTGTTTCCCCAGATAGAAGGACTTGGAATTGTCACTTCATCTCTGAAACTCCTGATTTCTTTATCTCAAAAGCTTGTGAGCTGGTTTTGAGGTGTGAGTGTGGTTGCTTAGCAGCTGCCCTGCTCAAAACGGGCACCCGAGGCTGCTGGGAGCAAAGGCTTGTTTAGTCTGGGAAGGTGGTGAGAACATAGGCCATGTTGCCAGGCCGCCTAGGTTTCAGGGTTAGTTCTCCTCAGGCTGTCATGCAGCTTCTCTGCGCCACAGTCACAGAATCCGCAAGAGTCAGATGAGGCAGTGAGCATACAGTGTGAGCAGCCTGTCAGCTGAGGGCTTCCAGTTTGTACTTCTAAAAGCTCCCTGTGTGCAGATTGCTTGAAACTCAGCTTCAAATGAGGATCTTTCTTTCCTTTAATGCCACAGATGATATTTCTCGAGTCAAACTTTCAGTCCTGACCCATTCAACGGATGACTACATCAATGCCAACTATATGCCTGTAAGTGGTGGCTGCCCACAGCCCCGGGGGCTCCTCTGAACCAGAACAGTTCTTTCTGTGTCTTTGAAGATGACTGAACTTTCTATTTCTAGGGCTACCATTCCAAGGGAGATTTCATTGCCACACAAGGACCTTTACCCAACACTTTGAAAGATTTTTGGCGTATGGTTTGGGAGAAAAATGTATATGCCATTGTTATGTTGACCAAATGTGTGGAGCAGGGAAGGGTAAGTATCTTTTGGAAAAAAATATATAAATTTTTATTGTGGTAGAGGTTATCTTCATCTTTTAAAAGGCACCCTTTCCTACATGTTAACACTCTCATCCTTAGAAAATATTCTCTATTTTTAGCTTTTAGAAAGAAGGTTTTAAAAGAATCTTAAAAATAACAATTATATGATGTTCCTTTGTGGGCTCGTATTGATGTCTGTGATTGTATCTCTGCTGGAGTTAGTGAGTGGATGGACCGGGGTTAGTGCAGTGGACACTGCAGGCCTGGAGTGAGGTATACAAGACCCCACGGCTCTGCAGTTGTCAGTTCTGCTCCTGTAAAGCCTGCCTGTTCCGTCTCTAAGCAGCCAGCTTCCAAACCTCTGATTTTCAAACTAATTTTTGACACTAAACAAAACATTTCAGACTTATCCCCAGGCGAGTCCCATCAGCTCTCTCTCTTCTTGTGTGGCCTGGAACCCTCCCACCATTTCTGTCACAGATTAAAATCTCTCCTAGGAATAAAATCTCCTATTTCCATAAATAGAGATGAGTTGAAAAACACATGCTAAAGTATTGTGTGCCTGCAGAATGAGAATTAATATTACTTCATGGAGAATTATGAATTACTACTATAATTTAGTGTTGGCTTTGGACCTAGGACCTTGACTTTGCTAAGCACGTACTGTGCTGCTGAACAATACCCAGCTATCAGTGTTTTGTGTTTTCTTTGCTTGTTTGATTTTGAGACAGGGCTTCATTCTTAGACCAGGCTAGACTTGAACTTGTACCATCCTCCTGCCTTCTAATGACTGAGTTTACAGACATGAGCTTCCATGCCTGGAATAAGGAATTTCCTCCCTGCCTCCCTGCCTCCCTGCCTCCCTGCCTCCCTGCCTCCCTGCTCCCCTCCTTCCCTCCGTGCCTCCCTCCCTCCCTCCCTGCCTCCCTCCCTCCCTCCCTCCCTGCCTCCCTCCCTCCCTCCCTCCTTCCCTCCCTCCTTCTCTCCCTCCTTCCCTCCCTCCCTCCCTCCCTCCTCTTTTCCTCCCTCCTTCTCTCCCTCCTTCCTCTTTTCCTCCCTCCCTCCCTCCTTCCCTCCCTCCCTCCCTCCCTCCTCTTTTCCTCCCTCCTTCTCTCCCTCCTTCCTCTTTTCCTCCCTCCCTCCCTCCTTCTTTCCCTCCTATCCTTTTCTTGAAGAGTAAGACAGTCCATGAGTCAGTGATTCCCACACCTGCCTATCTGCCAGAGCTATCCACAGGATGTTTCTGCCTCACCCCCCCCCTTTTGAGAAGTGGGGTTCTGACAGCTCAGTGGTATGGCTGCTGATGGCCAGATGTTCACCATGAATGGTGCTGTCCTGGGTGGTAACTGGAACTTGTCAGACATCATTCCCTATAATTGATTTTTGTTATGTTGTGTGTATGATGTGTATATGTGTGTTGGAGAGTGTACATGCCACAACTGACATGTAGTCAAAGGTCACCTTCCATGTAATGTTTCTTGAAATGAGATCTGAGTACTGGACACAGATCTTTAGCCTTGAAAAAGCCAGATTCATCTCCCTTAAAGATGCATCTATAGTATTTGAAATTATTAGTACATGTGCAAATCTGTGTTGGGTGAGACAGAAGCAGCTGAGAGACCGAGCAGTCCCCTTGTCAGCCTCATGACTTGTGCTTGCTCGTGAGTCTTGGATGTGGTGGGAGTGCGATCCCTGTGTCTTCACACAGCCAATCCTGTGTTCTAGACCAAATGTGAGGAGTACTGGCCTTCCAAGCAGGCTCATGACTACGGGAACATAACCGTGGCAATGACCTCAGAAGTTGTTCTTCCGGAATGGACCATCAGAGATTTCGTGGTAAAAAATGTAAGTCAACATTGATCTGAGAAAATTAATGGATATGAATTGGGAATGATATCTATAGGTTGGAAATAACTAATATTTGATACATGAGAAAAGTGTTTTTTTGCTTCTTTTTACAAAATTAAAATGCCCACATCTACATGCTCTCTCAGGAGCGCCTAGCTTTACTTTTTTGATGGGACTTTTGTGTCTTTCCTGAATAAATAAATCTTATGAGCATGGCTGTGTCAGTGACACTGTATTTATTTCCAGGTGACCGGAGGCCTTTTGGGTCATCTTAGTAGGGATTTGCCTTGGAGTGGGTGGTTGCTGCTAGGAACAGTTTATGTTAATTCCATAGTTCATGTTCCAGGGCACATGCACTGTACTCCCTTTCCCCCAAAAGTTACAAAAACAAATCCAGTTAAATCATACAGACATTCTAGGAGCTGAGTTGACTTTTCATTTTTAGTAGCAAAAGTGCTCAGAGTCACCATTGATATCTGCTGCTGAGCGTGCAAATGGCTCTAATATTTTCTAGCTCAGATTGGATCTAAAAATGTTCATCCCTTTTAATCTGGTGGACTCAAGTTTGAGTCTCTGATTATAAAGAAACAATGTGAAATTCAGGAATGGGCTTATTAGTTACAGATCAGCATTGTTTATTAGTTATTCGTGTTGGTAACTAGTCACAATCTCTGTTATTTTTAGAAGGTTGTTTATTTAGAAGGAACAGCTTCTTTAAGAAATGAGTAAGCTCTTCATTTTTATTTCTCTTGGGTATATGTCCAATGTCTGCTGTTTTATTATTACATGTTCTTTGATAATTTCATATATACTCACAAATTATTTAGATCATACCCACCTCATCAGCATTCTTTGTGGTGGTCGAACAATTTGGAAACCACATGTATAGCTAGCTTCTGGTGAATGGATAACTAAACTCTGACTTCTGTACATACTGTGTCATCCAGCTTTTAGACATACTGTGTATGTAGACGACATACAACCAGCCCTTTCACTTCTGCTGCTTGGTTCAGCTGTAAATTCAACCAACCTGGGATTGAACATATTCAGAATAAAAATAGTGTTTGTACTTAACATGTACAGTTAGGTCCATCATTCCCTAAGCCATGCAGTATAGTATAATAATATTTAAAATATAATAGTATAGCAATAGTGTAACAACTATTTAAAATACACTAGGTGATGCAGTTTAGAAATGTTCTACAGTATAATCATATGTTGTTGAATGATGGGTGTATTCTGAGGAAGGTGTCTGTGTGAACATTATATATGCACTTGGGCTGTGTAATGTATGTTGTCATATGTGTATATTACTGTGCACAGGCATGTGTGTGCAGGTTGCATGCACACATGGTTGTATTACTTTGGGAACCTGAACATTCTCAGACTTTACTGGGATCAATCCACATGGTTGTCAAGGAATGACTGTAATTACCATGAGAAGATGTGTAAAGGTTGTGTCAGTGATACATCCTAGAGACCAAGTTTTAAGATAGTGTCTTACTAGGTAGCCAAGGCTGGCCTTAAACTCATGAACCTCTGTCTCAGCCTCAGTACTGGAATTATAGGTTTGTGGTGCTCTGTGTGTGTGTGTGTGTGTGTGTGTGTGTGTGTGTATCAATATCACACCTACATACCTACATACATGGATACAGTGCATAAAAGAAAAGCCAATAAGTAGATTCAGTGGTGTTATATTTTAACAGAGCTGATAGACTGGGTCATAGTTTGTAAGGATGAATCAATCTTAAAGATTCCTGAAGACATAGGTAAGGCACAGTGTATGAAATACTAATTCTTACTAGTTACTGGGTTCAAAGACTCTGGCCTCAGGAAGTATTTCAGGTCCTCCTTTGGAGACATTGAGCATACAGTGGCGTGACTACCTCACTAGGTAAGATCACAGCCAGTAAGAAACCTTTGAAATACATCATGCTTCTTTCTGCAGGCTTTGCCCATTTAAGTTGGCTGGCATATTGCTTCTGCTTGGGGTTCACTGGGAAGTTGTACATAGGATTGACCAAATGATTAAAGAAAATACTATTGCTCTCGTTGTGTATATATAAAGGAAGCTCTACAGATTCTAGAGACTACATGTTCCACTCTGAAGGCTTTTCTTATTTTAAGATCCAATATAGGCTTCCACATGGCATTTTCTAAAATAGTGTTTTGTAATTATGTGAAATGCATGCATACATTTCCTTTTATAGAATAAGAACATTACAGATAGAGCTTCACTTTCTTGACTACCGCCCCTAGTCTGAGCCCCCTGCCTCCTGCCCACCTGCTCTCCTGCCTCTGCGTCCCTGCTCCCTGTCCCTCTGCAGAGCTATTCCCAAGAAGCTCTACTTTCTACTGTTTCTCTGTGTCTCCTTCCCTGATCCTCGCAGTAAACCCTTACAATAACATTTATGATGTTGGTTATCTGTGGTGAGGCTCTCCAGTGTCCTCTTTCCTATTTCTCAAACTTTGAATAATGTAGATTTATAATGAATAAACATTAAAATTAACTTCAGTGATGGAGATGCCCAGTGCCCAACTGTGGGGGACATAGGTAAGATCAGGTACAGACGAATGACGAATGAGTATAGTTGAATCAAGGACTGGAAGGGACGTGACTGGCCCCACAAGCAGAGCTTTTGGTAATTCCAGGCACATGCTTGGTTAAGGTCGAACACAAACTGGTGTGATTGACTAGATTTGTTATAATAGTGTTCACTGTCTCCTGCCTGCCAGATGTTGAAGTAGGAGACTGTGAGTCTGTGTGTGTGTGTGTGTGTGTGTGTGTGTGTTCATTCCTTTCTTAGACCAGCTTGGTGTTTGGTGGTTGTGTGTCCCATAGATTATCTGGAAAGCCCAGGACTTACTAGGTGGTTTTTGCTGACCTTCTGACCATACTTAGGGAAACGATTTTGGGATTTAAGGGAAGTGCCATTTGTGGATGGGCTGTAGGATGGGGCTCATGAAGTTCCCAGGAGGAGCAGGTGTGTGGGTGTGGGGCTCTTACAGGCTGGTGGCTGAGAATACAAGTGATATAAACTCAGAATTGAGCTGGGTGTGTTGGATCCATGTGAGATGAGCGGGGAGGGGTGGGAGGGAGGGGGTACTCCTGTTTCCCATGAACTTCTGCTTCATGTCTTTAGTGGGAGATATGAAGCCCTTCCTTCCTGGTAATATTATGAGGATTTGGTGATCAAATGTGCTGTGATTGGAATTTCTGATTAGAACTGTTACTGCCTGGCTGCCTGTTGTCCGCTTGTGTGATACAGTTCTTTGCTTGACTTCTCTCATTGTGATATTGTCGGGTATCCTTATTCTCTAGGTCTCTAACCCACTTTGTTGGCTTCTAGATGCAGACAAGTGAGAGTCATCCTCTGCGGCAGTTCCATTTCACCTCCTGGCCTGACCACGGTGTTCCTGACACCACTGACCTGCTCATCAACTTTCGTTACCTGGTCCGAGACTACATGAAGCAGATTCCCCCCGAATCACCAATTCTGGTGCACTGCAGGTATACACATTTGACAGCTCATGTGTGTGTGTGTGTGTGACAACTTTAATAAAATATAATGATATTTATAAGCACCACCTCCCAAAGCAACACCCAAGGGGAAATGCAATAGGTAGTTGGAAACTCAAGGATAGGTTGCAAGAGGAGACCAGGGACTTAGTCACTGAGCAATGAAGAAAGGAGTTGGCAGGCTGTATAACCTGTGGGCCAAACAGGGTTAGTGGCTTATTTTTATATATTTAACCTCACTGGAACACAGTCACGCCCACTGGCTTATGTATCATTTACATTGCTAAGCTGAAGATAGTTGCCATCTGGTCATTTACAGAACTCCTATAGTAGAACAGTATGAATTTAGCAATTAAAGACCAAAGAATTAATTTAGAGCAGGGCCTTCATAAATAGGTAGAACTTTCTGTGTTAGGCTAGAGGACCATTTGAGTGGCATGGAGTATGAGATGGTTTAGCAAGATGCTTTGTTTGTGACATTTTTCACTTGAGGATGCAGTTGAGCAACAGTGTTTGTGTTAGCTCCAAACAGTGATAATGGAGACGTGGGTACCAACGGGGGAACTGAGAGACACATGATGAAGGCAGCTGATGGTGATGAGCTCATGTCTCTTGTTTTCTAGTGCTGGGGTCGGAAGGACAGGCACTTTCATTGCTATCGATCGTCTGATCTATCAGATAGAGAATGAGAACACCGTGGATGTGTATGGTATTGTCTATGATCTTCGGATGCACAGGCCTCTTATGGTACAGACAGAGGTGAGGTCCCATCTGGGTTTGACATTCTGCCCTCCCCAACTGTCTCTAAAACATCATATGGAGTCACATGCTTGGCTTAAAATATTAACCTCTTCTAGGTATTTCTGGCTCTTGGTTGTAAATTTCTTTGTAGATCCTAATTAAATCATTTGACACAATAGCACCAGTGGCACCACACGTGCAGATAGAGTGTCAGGAGTCCTTACGGCTTCTGACTTTTCAAACGATCTTCTTTAAAGAGATTGTTTGTTTTTATTTTGTGTGTATGGGTGATTTGGCCTGTGTGTATGTCTGTGTATAACATTCTTGCAGAGGACAGAAGAGAGCATTGGATACCCTGGAAATGGAGTTACAGGTAGTTGCGAGCCACCATGTAGGTGATGGGATTCAAACCCGTGTCTTCTGCAAGATCTCTGCAGTGTTCTTAACTACTGAGCCATCTCTCCAGCCCTCAGATTAATTTTTTTGAGTCTTTTGGCTCTGCTTCCAGATTTTAAATTTATAAGACTGGTAGTTTTGGATCTTTGTTTCTTATATTTTTGCTTGTGAGTCTAGCCTTTGATGGCTAATCCATCTCTCCAGACCTTGGGTCTTTGTTTCTAAGAAGATCTGGCTGTCTTTAAGCTATCAGAACAGATGACTTACCAAATTTTAATGGTGGGAAATAGCACATTGCTGTTGAAGCACAAGTGCAGCAGCTTGTCCTTACCCAGCCTTGAATGTTAAGGAATCGGTTATGGGAGCTATGGAAGGATGACTGAGCAGTGAGAGAACTCACGCTCAGTATGGACTGTGATGTGTGTAATGCTATTGGGTTTGTTCTTCCTGGTGTCCTTGGTAAGCTCGTATCCGAGGCACATTCTCATCACAGTGTGGTGGGAAGGGGTCCCCTCAGAGGTAGATATTCCTGGACCAGGATGAGAACAGAATATTCATTTTGTTTCAGGCTGTTACCATGCACCACTTTAGAAACTTATGAATATAAGCTGTGTTTGAGTCTAGCAGGGAGTGTTCTAGAGGACTAGGTACATTGTGTGCTTTCGGGTGGGTTGCATGATTGTGAGAGAAAGAAGGAAAGTTTGCTTTCTTCTGTGGTAGATTTTCAGTTTTCTACTATAGTTTTAAAGAGTGAGAAGAAGAGAAATCGTATTATCTGTCTGTAGAGTCTTCTCTCATTTCACTTTTTCCGTTTTTGTGTGCCTGTGTGCGTGCGTGCATGCGTGTAATTGTCCTAGATTACCCTTCCATCTTATTTAGTGATGCAAGGTCTCACCATCAAACCCAGAGCATGAAAATATGGCTGATCTAGTTAGCTGACTTGCTCTGGGGTGACTCCCTTGTTCTGAGGCCACACCCACCCAGCATTTCCATGGGTTTTGTGGATCTGCCATTTAGTCCTACTGCTGCATGACAAATGCTTAGCCACACTGATCCTCCTCTCCAGCCCCCCATCTTTTTCCTATTTTCAAAAATAATATATTAAAATTAACATTGTAGGGCTACAGAGACTACATTTTCCACCTCTTTTACTTCACTAACCCTACTTCCTAGAGGAAGGCCATATTCACCTTTAGCTTGAGCTTTGGTTTGAATCCCCATAACCTCCTGGGCTCATGTGTTTGAACATTTGGTCCACAGCTGGTGGTGCCACTTTGAAAGGTTGTAGAACCTTCAGGGAGCAGTGCCTTGCTGGAGGATGTGGGTCACTAGAGGTGGGCATTACGGGTTTATATCTGGGTTCTATTTCCTGTCTGCCCTCTGCTTCTTGACTGTGGAAGCAGTGTGACCAGCTAACTGATGCTCCTGTCACCACCCTCTCCCAGCCATGATGGGCTGTGAGCTGCAAAAAATCCTTCTTCCCTTAAATTGCTTCTTGTCAGATAATTGGTCATGGCAGCAAAAGAAGTAGCTGGCACAGCAGGTGTCGCTGTAGGACTCTGCATACGATGTGAATGTGTGCACACATACATAGGTGGAGAATTTGGAAAAGATCAGATCATGTTTTATATACAACACTTCCTTATGAGGTTTCTTCTTACACCTGGTTATTTTTCTGTGTTGGCATATACTTCCTCTATTTAAACAACTACCTGTAGATCCCTGGAGGCTTGTATTAGTTACTTTTTCAAAAACTTGCTGTGCTGAAGTTGGTTTTACCTCATGGTTTGGGATCCAGCCCATCATGGAAGGGAAGGTGTACCAATGAGAGTGTCCCTAAGCTATGGCAGTGGCGGGATGACATGGCTGGCCACATTCTGCCTGCAGTTGGAAAGGAGGGAGGTGACTGTTGGTACTCAGCTCCCTTCTCAGCACCTAGAATGGAGACGCCCACATTCAGGATGTGACTTCCCTCTGCAGGTAACCCTCTCTGGAGATGCCCTCATACATACCCAGAGGTGTGTCTCCTAGGTGATTCTAAATTTCATTCAGTTGGTGATTAAGATTAATCATCACACTTCCCTAAAGAATGGTCCGCACTCTGGTCCCCCGTCTCCTTTAATCCTTCTCCTCTTCGGACAATTAAGTTTACTCTTAGTCCATACAGATTCCTTGACCATGGAAATCTCACTGGACTTTTACTGTCTTGAACGTATTTATGCTTTATTTCCTCCGAATCTTTGTCTCACTGTCCCCAAGGTTCTGATGTTTCCTTGGTCAGGAAAAGTGATGTTTAAGCATCATTGACTAAGAAAGCCATGCTTTGTGGTCTTGACGGTTCATCAGGGTGTTCTTAGACCCCGAGATGTGTTAATTTGAACCCTTGGCTGCCGGGTGGATGGCTGGTGTTTGGGGTGATGTGGTGGTGGTTATTTGAGTGCTTATCCCTGGGACTGGTGCTTATTGGTTCTCTTTCCTTGCCTTTTCTCCCAGGACCAGTATGTTTTCCTCAACCAGTGTGTTTTGGATATTATCAGAGCCCAGAAAGACTCAAAAGTTGATCTCATCTATCAGAACACAACCGCAATGACAATCTATGAAAACCTCGAGCCAGTGAGCATGTTTGGAAAGACTAATGGTTACATCGCCTAGTTCCAAAGCAAACCCTTTCTGAAGTTAACCAGACCGCCACACCCACAGTGAAAGAAAATGCCCTGATGTGGACATGTTTTTATATGTCTCATTTCTCAGTTCTTTGTTCTGTTCTGTTAGAACTACCTTGGAGGGCATGAGGCTGTGCGTGTAAAACATGGCAAATAGGGAGTTGGGGCTGTCGGGAGCTATGGACAGGTGGTATATAAATCAGCTGCATTCCTGATTACCAATGGGATGGGCTTACTTTTTCCCCCTTGAGAATTGTGGAAAACCAGGAAAAGTGAGCTACGATTTTATTTTTCTTTTCCTAACAGGTTCTCTCTCTCTCTCTCTCTCTCTCTCTCTCTCTCTCTCTCTCTCTCTCTCTCTCTCTCTCTCTCTCTCTCTCTCTCTCTCTGTCTCTCTGTCTCTCTCTCTCTCTGTCTCTCTGTCTCTCTCTCTCTCTCTGTCTCTCTGTCTCTCTGTCTCTCTCTCTCCTCTCTCTCTCTCTCTCTCTCTCTCTCATTTTTTAGGACTTTTATATGATTCACATGCAAAAGCAAGGATTATGTTGGGTTGAATATATTTTAAGTATCAGAGGTCTATTTTTACCTACTGTATCTTGGAATCTAGCTGATGGAAATACATGACTGTGGGTGTTTATCGTGCAGGGAGGGGCACATGGTGCCTTTTCTGCATGGGTTTCTATTTGAACATGTGCCTTTTTTGAATTATGCTTCCACGGGCAAAACTCAGTAGATGTCTCTATTTTTATATTGAATCTCATAATTGGAATATACAGAATATTTAAATAGTAGCTTCGTATCAGAGGTTTGCCTTCTCAGTAACATTCCTGTTCTCATTTGATTAGAGGAGGCTTTCTCTTTGACCCACCCTTGACATACATTTGTGCTCCATTTTTTTTCTTTTTTTCCCCCAGTTCTCTCCAAAGGCTTCTGTTGGTGACATTTTCATCCCATCAGTTGGGTGAGAACAGAAATTTAAAGTATCACCATGATAGTGGGGTGGGGTGGGGGATGGGAGAAGCAGAGGAATTGTCATACCATGGTGTGAGTACCCCTTCCCATCCCGTCTTCTGCTTTCTCTCATTTCTGTCTTTGGTAAGAAGGATTATTTAAAGGTGCAATATGTGACTTAGTGGTTCACGATGCTCTGGGTTTTTAGTAATGTTTTACTCAGGTTGGCATTTTACGTGTGTGTGTGAGTGTGCGTGTGCGTGCGTGCGTGCGTGTGTGTGTGTGTGTGTGTGTGTGTGTGTGTGTGTGTTTTATAGCGTGGTGATCTGTGAACATTTCAGTGTGAACTCAGATTAACCCTTTTCCCCCCCGAAGTCCACTGGCTTTAGTCTCTATCTGCAGTGACACATGTCAGTATCTACTGTATATATAAATACTAAACTCTTACACCAGTCATTCCTATGAATTGAGGTGTACAAAGTTTGATTTGTATCAAAGATGTAATTATTATTTTTAAAACCTCTTTTCACTACACTGCTGCTGTAATTACTTTGATTTTTTTAAAGAAAATGTAGGGTTTTTTTGGCTTCAGGTGTGTATTCACCAAGTTTTTCAGAATTTATGTGGATTTATTTTATTGGTACATAATCTGTAAACTTCTCAAGGCATTAACATGACAATATTTGTGTCTTTTATTTTATCTTGTGGCTCAGGTTATATTTGAAGAAGTTTTGAGTTTATTCTCTAGTAGGCAATGAAGTATATAAGGTCTTATGAAGGAATTGCCAAGTCTCTGGAGTCCTGTGGCTGTTTTCCACAGTGACACATCCTGCTGTATGTTTGGGACAACGGTACCCTGTTGAAGATGAGAGCGGGGTCTTCTCCGAGGGTCCTGGCTGTGGGCTCTGGGGCAGCCTTCGGGGTTCTGTCCTTGCTCTTCATTTCACCAGCACTTTGATGCCTGTCTGGACAGGATCATGAGTATTGTAGGGTTATAGAGGGTGAACCATGATATACTTAAAAGCTGTCATGCTATATGTCTTCTGTCCCCCTTTCCTTGGAGGTACTGAGGATTGAAAGGAGAGGTCAGGACGTTGTCATGCTTTGGGGGAGAATTGTACTTCTCAAATGGAAACTGCACTTTTTGCTAAACCCTTTGCATTTTGATGTTCATTTAGTGTGAGAGCCTTTAAGGAAAGGGCTGGCCAGGGTGGAGTAGGCCCCTTGACTCACCTTCTCTGGGGACTTTGACAATGCAGTTGTGAATCAGGGAAGCCATGCTGTCCCCAGGTGTGGAGTGAAGCTGAATGTGGGTTCATTATTCCCAAATCCCATTTAGTCTGCACGTGCTGACTTGGGGGTGCTGTACAGATGGGCCTGTCTGACAGTATACCACCTGCCCACCTCCTCAGTGTGTTAGGAGTCATTGTAGTGGGTAGTGAGGGGTCAAATCCAGTGCAGCCCTAAGCCCAGCCTCTGCTGCCATAGGAAAGGCTGGGGAAAGGACTTGCCCCTAACAAAGTCCTGTAAAAGATCTGATGGAGTCTCTTAAAAAATGAAAGTAGCAAAGTCATAAACATACTGTATAAAAATGCAAAACACAGAAAGCTCTGCTTCTGCCCGAGTGGGTCTGGAAAGTTCTTAGGAACCAGCCCCAGCAAACCACTCTCACATGTTAATCCCAGGCTCAGGAGGAAGGCAGAGAGGTTGGGAGTTCCACATGGGCAGGTCACAGCAAGGTCATCATGCCATTGCACATCCGGAGGAGGACTGTGTAGGGGGTTTGTGTAGCACAGTCATTGGAAAGGGAAGATTAACATGTTGGCAGGAGGGCCCATGACTGAGGCCAGGGCTGGTCAGAGGTGAGGGGAAGGCACTCCTCACTGGATGCCCCAAGCCCTCGGTGGAACTGTGAACCCAGATTGGAAGAGTCCGGTGGAATTGGAACAGTGGAGCTCCCTGCTCAGATGTGATGGCTGCATAGAGAAAAGCAGCCAGGGTGGAACCTGCCCATCAACGAAAGGGCTACAGACTGGTGGCCAGATGCTGTGGAGGACTTGGGCCATTGATGTCTTCTCCTAAGAACAAAGACTTTTCCTCTGGAGCTGAATCTAGTGACGGTGGGCACCAGAAGGAAATGTGGTGTCTGTTCTCTGAGGCCACTTTGTGATCTCCAGCCAGACTTGGGCACAGTGGACCCTCTGGATTTGTGCTTTGTGAGGCTGGAGGCTCTGGGGGTGGGGTGGGGTAGGGAGGAGGTAGGGAAGGGTCAACTATGCAGCTGATTCACACCTGTTTCCCTGGGATGGAGAAGCCTGGTTTTCTTCTGCAATGCTTGATTGCGCTTGTTCAGCTAAACAAGCCTGGTGACTGGAGTTGGTTCACCTCAAAACAAAATCGGAATTCTGTGTTTTCAGACTACCGTGTAGCAACTGTGTGTTTAACAACTGTAGCTTTTTCTCCCCGGGGCACAGAATAGAAGTGTTGATGTGGACTCTAAACTGTACTTTCTTGTAACTATTTTGGAATGATGCACATTTCTAATGTCTGTTATACTTGTACAGAGTATTGCTGTTGGTTGCTTTTTTTTAAAGAAAAAAATGGCCTGAAAATCTTTTTTTTAAAGACTTACAAATACCAAATACAAAATATGTCAACACATTATGTCCTTGATTCCTTCTTTCCTTTATCTCCACCCCGCTTAGTCTACGTATCTACTGTGTACTAAGCAGGTTGCTGGTTTGTTGTATTTTACCAGGGCATTCCTAACAAAATCAAGTCTCCACTGGACTTTTTCAGTTTTCTAGGGTCACTGTTGGACATACCACATACTGTATAGTTTAAGCCAAAGGAATCATCTTCTTACAGTTCTGGAAGCTAGAGATCAGAGATCAAGAGGTGGCAAGTCCTAGTCTGGCCTCCCTGTCCACATATGACCTTTCCTCTATGCAGGCCTGAAGAGCTTAGTGATATTGGCTAGAGCCTTATCCACACCATCTTGTCTTACCTTAACTACCTCCTTAGGTCCCTTCTTCAAGTAGCGTCACATTTTGAGGCACCAGAGGTTTATACTTCAAGGTATGAGATTTAGAAGATATGGCTGTGTGGGTGTACAGAGCTAATGATGTTCTCACTTTGTTAGAAGTATGCTCACCGTAGGAAGTACCAGAATCTTGAGAGGGTCTTTTGTTGAGTCATCTAGGGAATCTCATAATTACATTGTTACTGGGATATGGTGACAACTGGATAGGGCAGCCATCTCAATGCTGCCACCCTTTAGTGCAGTTCCTCGTGTTATGGTGACCCCCAACTGTAAATTATTTTTGTTGCTACTTGATAACTAATTTTGCTACTGTTATGAATTTTAATGTAAATATTAGTGTTTTCCAGTGATCTTAGGCAACCACTGTGAAAGGATCATTCAATCCACAGGTTGAGAATCACTGTGATTTCATCTTTTGTGTCCCTTTATAAAAAATACTTTGTTGTTGAGACAGGGCTTCCTGGAAATAAGCATGTATCATCATTCCCACCACATTTCTTGAGTCATTTAATGTGAAATAAAATTTCCATGTAATTTCTTTTAGTATGTCCAAGTTGACTGACTCAAGGGTCTTTTTTTTTTCATAACTTTTCTGATTAGGTGAAAAGTACAAATCTGGGACAGCTGATAATATAGTGGTCCCTAACAGGCTTAGTCTCTGGCTGAGGCTACAGAGTATTTTGCTTTTGATGTACTGGATGTATGGTGGAGTCATACTATTCCAAACATGAGCAGTCAGGGCTTTTCCTTCACTTAAATTTACTTGGCACCTAAACTGAAGGAGTTGAGACCACAGAAGTTTTCTGAAGTTTTTCACAAGAGTTAAGGGCACAGATGTGTTAGCTTATCGAAGATGAGGATCTGCACAGAAGGGCATGGGTTGACAACTTGCTAAATCAAACAAGTTTAGACTCAGGTTTCTAATTGGGAATCCTGCCCCAGGTGCTTTGATCCGTGCCATCATCAGGCCATCGAATCTACACTCAGGTCTCTGTTCCTGATATTTACTTGAGGGTGATTTTGGTGTTTATCAGTGCCATGACAAAGTATCTGATCAGAAGCAACTTCAGAGAGGAAGGCTTTATTGTGGGCAGTCATTTCAACAGTGGGAGAAGCTGCTGGTCACACTGCATCTGCAGTCTGGAAGCAAAGCATGAGCAGGGAGTAGGGCCAGATTATAGGGACCCACTTCTTGGCAAACAAGAGCCATTAGCTGGGGACCTAGTGTTCAAGCACATGAACTATGGGCGACATTTCACATTCAAGCCTTTGGCATGATATCATTTGATGTGATAACATGATGAGGTACTAGAATGCAGTGGTGGCTGTCCAACTTCCGTTTTATGCCTCAGTCTTATGATGGCAGTCGTTGTACATTTGTGGGCAAGCCAGACATCTCTTGAATGGAATTTGAGGACCTATGAGAGAGACAGGTAAATAGAGGGAATCAAGTGTGAATGCACTGTTACACAGGGAGCAGGAAGGGTAGAAGAGAAGAAGGAAGGAATGGTGTGTGCTGAGCCTCTGAGGCAGGAAACAACTTTGCAGTTTGAAGAGTAGTTGGGAAATGAAGCTTTCTGGAAATTAGCTGGTGAGGAGGCAAGGCTTAGTCAGCCATGCAAGGAGATGGGGAGTTGGCTCTATGAGCAATGGGAGCCATCAGAGTTTCACACTGGACAGTCATATTTGTGTTGATCACTGTAAGTACAGTGAGCTACAAGGGAGACCATCCTGGTCTGGCTTAGCTATGGTCTAGGGAATAAATGATGGTGATTTGGCAGGTGCTATGATATGTACTTGTGTTCTCCCTTTCACACATTGGAAGCATTAGGAGTGGGGACTTTTGGGAGGTGACTGTCAGGAGGGTGGAGTTACATAGCAAGTTTGAACTGCTTGAGACCCCCCTTCTCTTTTAATTAATAGTTCTTCTGTCATATAATACAACCCAACTACTCCTTCCTCCAGTCCTCCTAGCCCCCACCATCTCCCCCTGATCTACTTCCCTTCTGTTTCTTCTTCAGAAAAGAGCAGGCCTCCAAGAGGTGAGAGCCAAACAGGACAAAACAAGAAACAAAACGAAGCAAAAGCACTCATATCCAAGCTGGACAAGGCAACCAGATAGGAGGAAAAGAGTCTAGAGAGCAGGCAAAGGAGTCCCACTGTTAGGAGTCTTACAAAAACATCAAGCTAACAGCCATAACATACGCAGAGAGCCTGGTGCAGAAGCAAGTAGGCTGCTTGGTTTCTGTGAGCCCATGTGAACCCTGCTTAGTTAATCCAGTGGGCTGTGTTCTCCTGGTGTTCTCCATCTCCTCTGAATCCTACAGTCTCTCCTCTTCTTCTGTGAGGTTCACTGGTCTCCGAGGGGAGGGTCCTGATGGAGACTCTCCGAATTATTTCTGGCTGTGAGATTTTGCACCTGCTCCCATCTGGTGCTGGAGGAAGCCTCTCTGATGACAACTGGACAAACCACCTATCGATGAGTATAGCAGAATATCATTAGGAATCATTTTATTGATAAGATTTTTTTTTGTCAGTTGTGTTTGGTTCTACCCTACATCTCTGTGCTACCCAGTCTCTGGTTCCTGGCCATCCAGGCAGTATAGGCCATGCCCCCCCCCACACCATAAATTAAACCAAACATTGGTCGGCCACCCCAACAAGTTCTGTGCCACCGTTGCCACAGCACTACTTGTAGGCAGGGCAGATCGTATGTGGCAGGTTTTGTTCAGGCTTCTCTCTCTGTAGCGTGCAGAGTACTTCCTATGCTCAAGTGGCTAGAAACCAGGGGTGAAGGCTCCAAGCCTGTACCAGCTTCACCCCTCTATACTCAACGAGCTGTGTGGATGTCCTTGGCAATGGGGCCCCACTGTCAATTTTCAGAGTCCTTCTGTCCTAGCATCAGCCTGGGTTGTTTAGGAACCTCCATGGAAATTCCTCTGCCAACAACTCAACGGAATGTTGGGAAATGCAAATCAAAACTTCCATATTACCCCTGTCACAAGTGACAGCTCATGCTGGCCAGGATTGTGGAGCAAGGGGGAACACTCCTCCATTGTTGGTGGGAGTGCAAACTTACTTGTACACCCACTATGGAAATTAATATGGAACTTCAGAATCCTCTGAAAAATTGGAATCAATCTATATCAAGACCCAACTGTTGTTCCTTTGCTTAAATTACCAGCAGGTGCAGTCACAATGGAACACAAACCAGGAGATACACTAACCATGGAGTTTATTACAGGGAGCCGGTGGGGGGGGGCGTGAGAGGGGGAGGGGAGAGAGAGAGGGAGAGAAAGGGGTGAAGGGCAAGAGAAGAGAGCAAAAAGCAGAGAGGGCAAGAGGAAGGGGGTAAGAGAGTGTAAGTGGGCGGGGTCTGTCTTTTTAAAGGGGTCCTTATACCTGCGTGCAGACTAGCACTCATGGAACCCTGAGTGCATTCTGCTAGCACAATGCCTGAATGCTTACATTCCTACCTTTACTTGTTGTTAGAAAGGTGAGGGGGTAGGCATGGCAGGTTAGGGAATAAGGACGTCGAGTTCTCAAGGCTGATTTGGGGGGGCGTTGACCATCTTTGGGGAACCTGAGAAAGATGGGGTGCTGCCACGTTCTGGGGTAGCTGGTTGTTTCATTGCAGTCCAGGCTGTATGGAACTCTCTGGCACCTCTTATACCTGGCGAGATGTTAGAAGAGTAGAGGACAAAGTTAAGTTTAGGAAAAAAAATTTCTTAGGTCCTGGTACTTGAGGGGAGGATTTCAAGATGAGGGAGGGGGTCCTAAAGGGGTCCCAAGATGAGGGAAGGGAGTCCCAGGACCAGGGAAGGGTTGAATAATATCTGGAGTGAATTTGACTTATTTGGGTGGGTCCAGTTTGGCTCCCTAGAACTTACAAGAATCCTTTGAGTTTGTGAAAACATGAGTATTATACATGTTAGCAGCATATTTATGTTAGAAGCAACTTGGTTGAATGCACTAACATTTTTAAAAACTGACAAATATCTTTAAGACAATGAAAAGTATCTTAATTTTGACTTTGCAGTTACTGTATGGTGGTATAATATGGTGTTTTGAACTCTGTCGGGGTGGAATTAGTAGCTTATCAGAACTTTATTGATTAATGTTAAGAATTAATGAACAGTAGCATAATGAAAGAGAAATCTGGAATATGCTTCATTCTTTTGAATGCCTCACCTCACTTTGGATCACTTAAGCCTTTTTTATCCTCAGACCTTCATAACTTTAATTCATACACCTTACACTTTCCTATCTTCACATAGATAAACCCCAAAATACCTGTTCCTGACATCTGTCCTGTGACAGTTGGAGCTTTGGTGGCTGCTTTAAGCTAGCAAAGCTACCAGTTGTCAAAAGCACCAGAGTTCTTGAGAAGGATAAGATTTTACTTGAATTAATTATTACAGAATAAGTGAGACTTGTTAGCTGGCTGAATGGACAGTCACCTCCAAGGTCCTCCATAGTTGTTGAAGGCAGCGGTTTTAAGGAGACCTGCTTTCTGCTGATAGCATGGGACCTGTGGATTAGGGGTAGTAGGAAGATTTGCCTAGAGTTGGCCCAAGCAATGTGGAGAAAGTTGAGACCACTGTCTTCTTGTCCACAGTCTGAAGAGTGCTTTGCAGTGGTTGAGGTTTAGGGCAGGGTTGCTCAGTGGCTAGTGTTACCGTTTTGTGGGTGGAGTTTCTTCAGTGCCCACCAGTCTTCTTGGAGGAAATGGGGTGGGGCCAGCGTCTGGCCTGTCTCTCTGTTATAAAAATCTTTTTAATAAAACATTTTAAATGCCATATTCTCTAGATCTCTGAGCATTTGAGGGCTGTCTGTTTAGTAATCTCAGCAGACAAATTTGTCTTTAGTTACTTGCCTTAAGCACATAGGTGGCTAGGTAAGGCTTTATCCCTGTAATTAATTTGTATGGCTACAGATTAGTGCAGGATTTGTCTGGAGAACTGGACTGAAGCTGAGAGGTTATGGAGGGTTGTTTTAACTAGAGTCCTCTAGCCTGGCTGTAACTGGTTTTTACTTAGAAGGTTAGATTTACACCTCTACAGGACAAAGAAGTGGATAAAAGCACCCTTTTGTAACAGAAGCTTTACCTTTGTAAACGGCTTACAGGAAGGACTGGGTG